TAAAAAATATGACTTAAACAATTTATATACTTTTGGCTTTTGTTATTTTTATAGCATTTAAGCTTTTTTGGTAGTTTAATTATAATTATACTACTATTTAAATGCCATGAGTACAGATTTGCAAGAGGAACATTTTAATAACAAAAATTCTTCGTAAAATCAGTTAAAATAATCTTAAAATCATAACTTCTCTCTCTCTCTCTCTCCCATAAGCAAGCAAAGTTCCTAAGAAAACCTATATTTTTTATAAAGAAGCAGAACGAAATGGGTCTCAGAATTCATTACGAAAGATAATACAGTAGCGAAGGCCGCAATTATCCAATTCAGCGGCGGCTAATTAATTTTAATAGTTCCTGTTCTCCTCAACGAATTTGCATTTAATTAAACAAGACTATAGTCCAAGCCGAAATACACACACAGAATTATAAACTCATTCTCGTCCGGTCCAAAAGTTAAATTATGCACGAGCTTATCTGAGTGATGCCGAAAATCACTTCTCTCTCTTTCTCCATATAAGCAGAGACACGACGTCATAAATATTTTGAGGCTGAGAGGGAATACTTTAAACTCCTTTTCTCGAACGCGGACAAAAATAACTCATTAATCACGAGGCCAATCTGCTTAGGTGAAAATTCCTGTTTGCGATAAATCGCGAGTCGCTTCAAAAATTTAATACCAGACAACATTTATTTGTAGGTGTGTTTATAGAATAGAGAAAATTACGGATTCTATAGGAAACGGGATTTACTCAAAGATAAAACTATTTTTTTTCCGCTTTAAAGATCTATACGCAAACAGTAATCAAAGTAAGCAAACATGAATGAATTTTATGAAATTATGAGGCTCTCTGAGTATTCATATTCCTGCATTGTTTGAATTAAGACTGGCAAAAATTTGCAATAATTTATTATGTCTATTCATGATGAGGGCATCAACAGTTTTTTACACTATTTTTTTTTGTTTTTTTTTTGTTTTATTAATGTAATAAAATTTAATTTTTTTGAAGCAATTTGAATACATGAGAAAATACAAAGAAATGTATGGGAGTTTTTATTCTTATATTAATAATTTACAATAGCCAATTTTAAATTTTTATTTTTTAAATCTGTTATTCATAAAAAATGGGATAATTTATGACTTGCGACTAATTACATTTATAGCTATCACTTTGTACAAAAATTTTTTGCTTATTCTTAATTTTTTTTTTCATTTTATTTGATTATGTATTACTTACTATTAATTATTATTCTTGGTTGATTTAATTTCATGATTCCAAAAGTGCTGAATGTTGCGACTCCAAATAAAATAAACAACTATTTTGGTACACATGACGATGTGATTTGCTCGGCGGTTATTTCAATGACTTCCCGCCGTCAATAAGTAAAAATTGCCCCGGTCATGAAGTCGGCCAATCAGTTGCGTGGAATTAGCCAAAGTCATCAATCATTTTTAGATGATTAGACGTAAACAAAGAATTCAAAGAAATTCACCAGTGTCGTGTCACGTGTGTGTTCCGTGTGTGCGCCGGCGAAGCAAAGAGGTCGCATCTTAGACGATTCTGATGGTGAATTTAGACAGAAACTGTTATCGTGGAGTTGTGGGGACCTCTTTTAATTGATTCACAAGTGAAAAATGAGTGAACTCGACGAGTAAGTGAAGGAAAACCGGTGGGTGCTTCGCTTCTTCGGGACTCTGCAGGAAGAGCGGCCATGCAGATCAACTAGATCAAGGTAGGCATTTTCTCGCCCCTGAACCCTGAACGGCCGAACCGAGCGCTTGCCCATGGGCAAACTGTGCATGTGGCGCATGGGCAAAATGTTTTACCTCCAGTTCAGTGATTAGTTAAAATCATTTAGAAAGCACACGGCCCCCCTTATTTAAAAGCAGGAATTCTTTTGATGACAAGCAAGTAATTTTCTCTTGTTTATTGTTTTCTCGTTTATAATTTTGTAATCGGTAATCAAGATTGAATTGATTCAGTTGGCGAAAAAAGTGACCCCAAATTCCAGTTTGATATGATGCAGTGAAGGATATATATTGAAATTTATTCTACACTCATTTTTGCAATTATGCAGATTATCCGTTGAAAAAATATTACAATTCAGATTGCCTATTATTCCCTGTGATATTAATTTTACCAGCAGGTGTTTTTTTTTCTATGAAAAATAATGAGTCGAAAGGAAACATAATGAGCTGCGAAGAAAGGTGTTGGAAATTAGAAGACCTTTGACATGCAAATGGAGATGCAGCGCGAGTGTCAAAAGGGAGGAAGCAATTTTTTTCGCGCTCACAAGCAACTGCGCGCGGCGGGTAATTAGCAATTAGGTGGCGGGCGGGTGTCATCGCATCTATTTTGTTGCATACGTTGTAATTATATCCTTTATTCTCTTCCTTTGTGAGCTCTCGCGAATAATTGTAATAATTGTGTGATGATTATTATTAATCTCATTAACGGTGCGCCAACACGATATAATAAAGAGAAGCAGGAAAATGAGCCGCTGCCGGGCGGTCATAATTTAATATACAGCAGGTGGTTTTCAAAATTATCTATTCTCTCCTTTTAATATTTTATAAATTAATTTAAAATACACGCATTTTTTGCACATTGTTGATTGCACTTATTCTCATCGAAAACTCGCGTGTCCCAAAAAACGAATTAAACCAGATGTTTTGAAATTTATTTTCTGACTCTTCTCCCTAATTTTTTACCTAAGACATGCTAAAACACATCGTCAATTGATTGGAGTAGAAATTTTTATATACTGAAAAATTAGATTTTTATCCCAGTGAGACGCTAATTTTCAATTGATTTTTATGTTGAATTTGTTTATATTTAAAAAAAAAATATATTATATTATTTCTGTAAACTAGATTTTGTTAAGAAAGAAATATTTAAAACATAAAACTGAAGTTCTAATAGGGGCAAAATTGCAATTAAACGAGAACTCTATACTGACAAAAGATTCTAACATTTAATTTCGTTTGCAAAACTTTTTTCTTCACGCTCAGTTTAAGAATTACTTTCGTTTTTAAATTTTCTTCTACAATTATTAGTAAGAAATAGAAAAATATTATCCAAAAGCAAGCTCCAATATATAATTAATCATGTTGTATTCAAAATATTTTATTTTTTCAGGTTCAGAATAGTCTAGATATGTTATCCTTGTTTTTTATTTTTTATTTAATTTCAAATTACTACACCCTTTTTTCAAATGAATTTTGTGCCAGTTTTTTGTTGATTGTAATTTTCTCCGATTTTACCCATTAAGAGCTCTGCTCTTGTGTCTCAAAAACGAATAAAACCAGGCGAAAACTTGTGTTTCTGGCAAGCACAGGTTGGTGTGTACACATTAGCTCCATTTTTTGCGCTTTTCTCTCTCAAGCGCATCAATTTGCTCGCGGTTAAATGGCCCTTCAGATCAGTTCATTTGTCACACAACGTTGGCCATTCCTCTGCTGCGCACCTTCACCGCCGCTTTTTTATTATTCTCCGCTGCAAACAAATGTGTTTTGCAGGCAGACTGAATTTTTTACATCGGAGATGGATTTCATGGGAGAAAGAGACGCGCCATCCAATCGATTAAATTAACCGGCGGAGTAAACTGCAGTCAGGATCAAATTATAAGAACTGTTAGATTTTAGATATGGAAAAAATTTATGTTTGCTTCTTTGGAAAAACCTCCAGAGTTTGAAATATTGCACAATCGATTTTCATTAAAATTTGATTTGGAGAAAATTCAGCCGTTATTTGTTTCATAAATTGGCCTAAAACAAATAAAAATTCAAAACTGAAGAACCTATAAAAGTAAATTTATTTCAGAAATTATAATAATTCTTGATTTTTTTTTTTTTTTTATTAAGTTTATCCACTGCCACACTTACTTGAATATAATACATCAAGGAATTAATCAAACGATAATCTGTGGTAATCTCCAATATTCTGTCAACAATTAAATTAAAAAAATTATATTTCTATGTTGAATAATTTGCATGCAATTTACAAATGACATTGAACGGCACGCGACTTATTTACATTTATCTTTGCTATTACAAAATCTTTGAGGTAATAATGTGGTGATAAATCCGTGAGATAGCGGCAAATTTTTGTTATTTAGGCTGCCGCCGATTTAAGTCCCGTGAGAAGCGCGAAAAAATCTTTGCAGGCTTTGAATGGATTACTACGTACGTAGACTACAGCCAGCCAGCCGTAGAGAGAGATGCTTATCGGTCGGGGGTGCGCGAGCGAGCGAGCGACGCGGGTTGCAGAGATCATTTGACGGCCGGCCGGTCTATTTATTAGCCAGCCGCTCCCCTGAGGACGGACGGACGGGGCGAGCGAGCGGGTGAAAAATGCGGACCAGAGTAGATGGACACGAGCTGATAAATCTGTGTGCGCTGTTAATCGCCCCTTCTGCCGCCACCCCTGGCCTCGTCCTCGCATATCGATGTAATTAAGAGTGCATCATCTCCTGACACAACAACTAAACAAACCACGATGAATCAGTCTGCTTTCGCGCGCACCCTCGGTGGTCGAGATCCACAAAAAATAAACAATGAAATTATGCAGTTTCCATTCTCGTGAAAATTGTCATTTGAATGGATTTTTTTATTTTAATTTTTCTGTTTGAATGCGATCAATGTTAAAAAAAATTGAAACTTTTTTAAAATTAATGCAAATTTAATAAAAAAAAGGTTAAAAGGACACACCACTATGCATGACATTTATATCCACAATTTATCCATACATTTCTATATCTCAACCAAAATTTAGTAATATAGGATATTAAGATACTGCGGGTCTTGTATGGATCGAGGGAAAAGGTGAAACTCTGACGAAACCTTGTAATTAGTTTTCATTTTTTTTTCAAAATTAAAAAATTAATAAAATATTAACGTGACTTGAAATATTGGTGGCGAGCTTCTAAGGAAAAAAAATCATTTGGTCCTTACGATTAAAGATAACAACCATTTCATTTATTATTCTTTCAAATAAAAAATCCTTTGTAGAAAATATTTCGGCAACTGGATTTAAATCACAAAGCTGCGTTTTAATATTCAATTTATATTTTGGATTTTTTTTTAACTTTCACCTAATTGCTCTTAATAAATTTATTTACACACAGAGGGACCAGTTTGGATTGGCAGGGTTTTCAGCTTGGATTGTTTGATCCGATAATATCATGACGAATCCAGATAGTTCTGGCAGAGCCGGATCGGTAGCGTTGACATACCAGTGTTTTTGAATTGGTCCGTTTGACTGTGCAGTGCACCAGCGTGGATTGAGTGGGCTAGAGTTTGAAGAACCAGCAACCCACGTCAAAGCGCTATCTATTTTTTTTTTTTAATTTATTTAAATTTATTGTCGATAAACTATAATTAGTACTGTATCCTGAATCGTGAAGACATTGAATTTCTGCCTGAGCCTCAATTGATGCTAGTTTCAATCCAATTTGGCAACAACTTTTGTACGCGCCAAGAAGATCCAACTAGAAATTTATAGGAATTAAAAATTATTATATTGGGTGGATTTTGTACAATTACGTTCCCGTTTTGTTGGAGCCACTTTTTATTGCAACTAAAACGAACCCATCCAGTTGAAATAGTGGCATCCGCTTTTTAAAATTTTTAGTTTAGATTTTTAATCTTTTGTTATTAAGAAAAAAAAATATGAAAAATTTATTTTACATACTTGTTGTTGAGTCAAACTCCGATTTTGCAGTGGCCTTTGAAATTATTTTATTAATATATTTTTAACCCCGAGTCAAGTAAAAAAAAAATGATATGAATTAAATTTGTTTTCAAGTTTTTATCATTTAATTTACATTGACGGTGCAGGTCACTTGAGGACAAACAGCAGTTGGGAATAATCCTGCATTTTTCTGAAGAAAAAAAATAAATTTTTGAGTTTCAATTTTTATCATAATAATTTTACTGCTGGAATAGATTCCACAATGTTGTTGATCACACCGTTGACAATGTTCGGTGCTTTGTCATTGGTGCACTGGATTAGCTGAGCTGCCTGATCACATTCATCCATTCCCTCTGATTATAAGCAAAATAAAAAACAAAAAACTATGTGTGATATTTACTGGCTGAATTTGAGCAATCATCCATAATTAGAAAGTTTTTCTTCATTTCGTCCACACTTCCATTGGCCATTTTTTCAACAATGGCCAAAATATCTCTTGCGATCACTTTTCCATCTACAATCTATAAAAATAAGATAATCTTTGTTAGATGATTCCTTATATAAACATATAGAAATCATATTTTGCAGAAGAGGTTTTTACCAGACCAGTGTTCTCACCAAGGCATTTCATGAAACACTACAATGAAGTTTATGAAAAAATTAATATAATATAAGAGCTATGCTTACCTTAATTCTTATGTCAAACTGTGGTTTGCTTAGAAGAGTGCTAATTTCCGCTAACAAATATATTTAAAATTCACATGTATTATTCATTACATTTTTAAATACAATGTTTAACCTTCAGAAACATTGTAAACAGCGGCACATTCATTTTGAATTGCACTTGCTCCAGTTGTATTAGGAGATGAGGAATCTCTTGTCTTTAAAATTATACATTTAGTCAGGGAAACATTAAATTAAAATTCTAATTAACCTCGCAAATGTACTTAAAGGTTCTCTCTGCGTTAAAATCTGCCAACTGAGCGCGAGTTTCATTTATGGAAACGGCCAAAGAATTTTCGCTTCCTTTTGCATTGTCAGGTTGACCAAGAGCCCAAATGGCCTCTTTTCTCAAAAGACGCTTTGCCGAGCAGTATCCGAAACTGGACTCGCAACCCTGGTCAGAGCCGGAAGTCCAAAATGTATCTTCTTGTGTCACATTTTCTACAGCGAAAACATTTAACATATTTTGTATGAAAAATTATGTTAATAGAAGAACCTTGGATTGCCAATTGCAAAGAAAGATATTTATAGTCAAACTCAAGACTAAGCAGAGACATGCCTATTTCGCAACAACCTTGAAGGGCGCCAAGGTACTGAAATGATTTTGTTTAATTAATTTAAAAAAAGAGAGAATAAATTATCAATTGATCATAATAAATAGATGAGCTCACCGTCTTATAAGCAAAACTGAACATGTATACGCGTCCCTTGTTCTTGAACCAGCTCCCATGCAAATCTGGTGCTGGCAATATTGAAGGAAATCTTTTAAATTGAGCAAATTGAGCTTTATATATATTAGTTAATAATTAAAGAGCTCAGTAAATCATTTTTAAAACTTAAAAAAAGTATAATATAACATAATGATATGCAAAAACAATTGTCAATTTTTAATGTTGCTGACCTTTCAAAAAATCTCCTGTTGTTGAATTTTCAAAGAGCGATAGCTGTAAAAATCAAATTTGATTCTAAAAAAAAACCAAGTGAAAAGAGATTAACATTTTTAGTGCAAGTAAAATTGGGGCAGATCGGAGATGAACACGCCGGAGCAGGAGTTGTTGGCCCCTAGAATTTAATTCAAAATTGTCATAATTATCTTTTCTTACTTCAAACAAAAATCTGACTTGGCATGCAAATACATAAGAGTTGTTGCAAAGTTGGTCTGAGATTTGATAAGTAGCGTTTGCTTTGTCCACGTTGAGGTGCAAACAGTGTTGGTCCTGCGCAAAATCTGGCTGCCCGATATCCCACAGTTGTTTTGAACTGTCTACAAGCAAAGATCCATTCTTAGAGCACCATGAAAACTGAGGCGCGGCAGTTCTTAGTCCAGACGTCCAAAAAATCGAGTTATATCTCCACCCAGTGGCTATTTTTATTTTTAATAATAATTTCTTTTTCAAGTGAGTTAGCGTATTACTTAAATTTTTGAAGCACTGTATTTTCCCATTGTTTTCAAAAGCAAGCGGTTCCATTCCAATTTTATTACATTGCACCAGATTTTCATTCCATGAGACCTTCAATGATTGATGATTGTTCTTGATACATTTTAAATAACTAATTGTCTTACAAATTTTTTGCCAAAGAGAAACTGCTGGCCACACGACTCCACCCATGATCCGTAACTGTCCACGTCTTCAAAAATATTAATTTTATAAAATTAATAAATTAATTTCAAAATATCAATTAAATAAGAAACTTTTCAACGTTTTGTCAGCATTAAAAAGGCTAGTCTGGAATATTGAAAATCAAAAGTTTTCAGAAATTTTGTAATTGTAAGTAAACCTTAACTACTCACATCCAAGCCTGCTGGGGCTTCACAATTGGGGAAAACTTGTGGCTGAAATATTATTTCAACATCTTTTTCTATCATTTATTATAAAATAGATCAACCTTTATTGTCGTGGTACTCGGTGTGCTGGTAGAAGAAGTAGTGACAACTGCAGTAGTTGATTCAATTTTGGTCATACTTGAACTTTGCGTCTCTGAAGAAGTCGTTTCACTACAAAATATAATAATTAGTTTTGTTAGTTTTTATTATTAAATATTATTATTAATATATTTTATGTTTACATTGACAAAGATTCTTGTCCTCCAGTTCCTGCCACCAAACTTTCTACAGTTGGCTCAATAGAATTTCCTTCAGAACTGGAACTACCAGAATTTTCATCTGTTATAGCAGTCGTAGCTTCACTTGCTCCACGTGCAAATTCCTCCGTCGACTAAAATGAATTTCAATTAAATTTGTATCAAATTATTGTGCAATAAAAAAAAATAACCGAGATGGTTTTGACTGACCAATTTTTGAGAGACAACTGTGACAGTTTTGTTTCCGGCCAACGTGCTACTCTTTCCGATGGGCTGGAAATTGGTGCATGATGTGGCGCCGCAACACTTAATTATCACAGCTCTCCCGTCATGCCGGCGATTTTGATCATCTTCAAAAAAATGAGTTCTCGTCAAGTTTTGACTGCACAATTTTGAGTTGATTCAATACTTTTAAATTTATTTCCACGGGAAGCAAAAGCATTTCTTCTGTTTGCTGCTGACGCTTCCTCAATAATTAAAAACTGTAAAAGCTTTTTTAATTATGAACTGTAATAAAATTAATAATAAATTTGTGGTTTTTGGTTTTTGTACTTACAACCATGAAAAAAAGGTGGTAAGCTTTGAGGAGGTTCCTGAACTTCATGTCAGCAACAGCAGTGCACACAGACACGCTGGCAGTGTCGTTAAATTATGTACGCAAAATGTACTAACGTCCAGGGGAATCCCAACCATTTTTTACTCGCCTCTAATATGACAATCTAATATATGTTCAAAAAAAAAAGAAAAAAAAAACGAATTTCCGTTCAGTATGATTTTTCGTTTTCCCGCTTTTGGAGCTAAATTTATTGATCCTCTGCTCTGTCCTCTCTAAGTCACGAGTTTTGATTTATACCTCAAAATACCTCTGAACGTTTTGGAGAGAAGTTAAATTTTTGCTTTTTTTAAATCAATTTTTCATTTTATATTTTCTATTAACTCTTTCCATAATCAACTATTCATTTGCACAGCACATTTATTCCAGGTTTTCCCGCAATCAATTGCATATATGCACGGATACAAACGTATGATTCCATAAAATACAAAACTATATACTATGACATGACATGTGCTAGAGCGCCTACTTAGCAGCTGCGCCTGCAACTCCGCAGTCCCGCACTACAATAGCAAGAATTTTGTTAGGGGATTTTTCAATCTTATTAAAATGCGTCAACCAGGCGCCAATAATGCTTAAATTATAAAATTATTAAAAAACATTAAATTTTATTCTCAATAAATTGCAATACAGAGTGAAGTAGTTTTGAAAATACTGGACTCTAAGATAAATTTTTTTGCATTTTCATCTAGGAAATTGAACTGTATAATAATTAGCTAAGGATAAGATAACCCATTCACAACCTAAATTTTAACTGGAAAAAATATCAGCAAAATGCGCATGATAAAACTCATACATTTTCTATTTCAACGTTAAACTCGTGATTTCACGTAAATCATCAATCACCCATTTGAACAAGCTTCTGCTAATTTTCACATATATTTAATAAAAATATTAACCCAGAAATAGAATTGTTCAGCACAGAATTTTTTTTACCTATATTGATATTAGTTATTATCTTAAGATCCATTAGTCGCCTATTGGAATAAAATATCAAATTAATTAACTTATAATTGTTTGTTTCAGTAAAAAAAAATAAAAAATAAAACTGATTTTTTTAGTTCAGCACATAAAAATTCTGAAAGAAATGCTGAAATTCCAAAGGTAATTTGTATTTTTCTCACAGCTTGTCCAGTTTAAGTTTTCTATGTTAATTTTTTTCACCTATAGGCTTTTTCAACATTTAAAAAAAAAAAAAATTATGTATTGCACACGTGTGATAAATCTCTTTGGAGAGAGATTGCCCTGAGGTACCATCAATACCTAACTTTATTTTGACACAAAAGAAGCACCGTTACAGTAAAATTTGGAGTTTCAAATATAAATTTTTCTTTTTTTAATCCTCACCAATTTTTTTAACATAATTCATCGCCTAAATGGACGGAATTACAAAAAATCTCTGTATATGTTCCTGAAGCCCAAGCCAATCGTTAAATTATCAAACATAATGCAATCGTAGCCAAAAATTTTCAAATTAATTAATGAACAAACTGAAAGTTTACAAGTATGTGGGTGGATTATTTACGGGAAAAAGTCGTGATCAGAGGCGTCTCTGGCTAGAAATTGATTTTTTTTATCTCACGTCTGCAATCAATTATCGTCTAGCTGCGTTTCAAATTTTCCTCTCCATCTCCCATAAACATAACCGGCTCTGCTGGGATAACGATCAAATTAACACGTGAACGCGGCGAAACAAACCGAGAATGAATCTCTCCACACGCGCACGCATCATTAGAATTTAAATGGGAAAAATGGTTTCGAGCTTTTCTTAATTTAATTGTCAGTCAAGGGCAAGAGAGCCATAGGATATAATATTTTATCACACAAACTGGGTGTTGGGTAATATTTTCATTAGCTGCGATGTGGCGGGGAAATTATTTATGTCTCCTTTGAATTGCAAGAAGCACACGTTTCGTTTGATTGACTGCCGCAGATTAACTTTTTCCGACGAATTATGTTCCCGCTTATTTGTCTCGCGGCGGCAAAAAAACAATTATATTTCCAAAGGACGCGCAAAGTTTTCACGCTCCCTCAAATCTCTTGTGGAAATCTGCATTCGCAAAGACAACACAATATTATTTAATATTAAATACCAGGCGGCTCTTTATGAATGGCTCATAAATCTGCTGGCGGTTAAGAGCACTCTCGATGCCGCCTATTAGATAAAGGAGCAGTGCGCGCTTGAATATGAACTGCAGAAACGAATGTGAACGAGAAGATAAAAGTATAGAGAAGCTGTGGCCACGGGCTAAGTGAATAAAAAGACTTGCTAGAATTATATTCCACCCTTTTGACATTAAACCGCAAACTGGTGATTCAATTCGCTATTGGCTAACAAAAGACCAGATTTAAGAATTATATTATTATAATTGTCGTTTATTGGTCAAAATTGTTACATCACATTGTTTTCATTCAAAAGTTTAAAAAAAATTATTTGAAAAGAGAGGATTTGCTGGACAAAACGGCACCACCACTAGCAAGACTTCCGAGCTGCTTCCGAGACTCTATCCGTCGCAGTGAGCCTTGGTTGACTTGGTTTTTTGTTCATTATTTTTAACATATCCATGTTGAAATGTATTTTTATATGGGGTTAAGAATAAATTTATTGTGCTTATCTTTGTTCGAATAAAAAAAAGTGGAACTGTCACGCTTTGTAGAACGATTTTTATTCACATGTTCTGAATAATGCGAATAATGAGACAAATAGAATTGATTTTTTATTAAAAAAAATAGTTAAAATTTTTTAAAGTTTAAAAGCAACCAATTTGTAATTTATTAATTATAATTAAAATACAATAATAATGTAAGGTAGAAAATTGAAATGTATCAAATTAAAAAATAATATAAATTTACTATTTAAAATAATTTTATTAAGGAACTTGGATATTTAAATTATTGTTTTTTAACAAATTTTATTTTTTAATTGATTTTCTAACACTTTGGTACAAATTTTTACTTTTTTTTTTTTTTTTTTTTTTTTTTTTTTTTTTAATTCAAGCATAAATAATTTTCTTTTATTTGCAATTTGAAAAAATAAATCAAGCATTTAAGTGAAAGTTGCCATAATAAAGATTTTGCAAATAAATTGCGCAGCATTTTCAGGGATGTTTCTATGTTGCAAATAATAATTCTAGTATACATAAAATGTAAAAATTCTAACTACAGTGGGTTTTCACTTCCAGTTTCAGAAATTTTCCCTAACTTTTGCCCATCCACATCAATCATTCTTTTGTTGGATTTTCCCAGCTCTCGTCTGCATCCAGCAACATTCAAGGCAGCGCCGCGGCCAATAATAAAATTGGAATATCGAAAGAAATAATCAAGCACGCGTTTTATCAGAGCATCGCATCTTTATTCCTGCTCGCGGTCGATTAAAGTGCATGGAGTGTGTGTGTGTGTGTGTGTAGTTACGTATACGTGTGTTCAAGTTTTGAAATAATAATAACAATAATGACCGGTCGAAGCCTTTTCTGATTAGCCACGCGGCCACAGAGATCCTCGGCCGGCGATAAATTCACTTTTTCTCTCACTGCAACGTGTTTTATCTCTTTTATTTTGGTCCGCGCGCCAGAATCGCACCTCCACTGATCAGATAAACAATGGAAGCACACTGGATTTATATTTTACACGTTTAATAATTATTGATTTGGAAACAGTAAAAAAAAATAACCAATGTATATGAAGTGATATTTTATCTTGAAACAATTAATATAAATATTGATTCAATTTTTTGTTATATTAAATTCTCATTAAAAAAAAACTAACTTTAAAAAGGTTTATTTTAGTGTATATTTATTTGATATTAAGAACTTGGTTATAATAATGCTGTACCGTTAATGTAAATTTTTATCCGCAGAAACGTATGAAGGAATTTCATTATTATTATTATTATTTTTTTTTTATTGTAAAAAGAGATGCGTCTTTAATGTTAAGAGTGTGGCATAGGCTTGAAGAAAGCAGAAGGCGCTCCACCACATAGCGTAGTGCTTGAGGGTAATTAGTATGCAGGAGTGGGTGAGTGCCTAATTGCTGCTCGGCTTATTTGCCAGCAAAATTATTAGCATGGCGCGCGTGACGCCAAAATTCATTAAAACTGCTGCTCAACTTCATCGATTCGCATCCGCAAAATGAAATGAGTTTTTAAGCGAAAATTCATTCTCTGCTTCACCTGGCTGCAGCACCTCAGGAGTGAATTGCCTGGTTGTTATGCAACTTGCGCAGCACCACAGAAAAGTTTTCAATATTATAGTTTAGTCATTTACCCAGTATTCAAAGGAGCTAAAATATAATTATATACCATATGCAGAGCTACTCTAGAAATTCATTATTATTATTACTTTGTGCGTCTCAGTCTTTGAAGAACTAAAAAAGAAAAAAAAACATGCACATTATTACGATATTGATATTCTAATCTAAATACATAAAAGGTGTTTTCAGGTCAAAAGTATCATGAACTGAGAAGATTAATCTTTCATTTCAAACTGTTAAAAAATTGTAAAATAAAATAATACATATTAAATTTAGTCAAAACCATGAAAATAATCTGAGCATAAATTCGTGTAACAATAAAAAAGAGCTTTTGAAGCAGGCAGTAATATTCGAAGTGCTGGAAATTTCTAATAAAAAAGAAAAACAGGACAAGAACAAATAGCAACCAAATCCTAATTTCCATTTAAATATCTCATGATTCTTCGTGTATTTTTGCATAATATTTAATAAGCGACATTAAATTCATTATTATTTTTCTTAAATTTTTAATTTATGTATCCAAAATGTAAAATATTATTATCAACAAATAGAATCTTTTCTTTTAAATATGTATTGAATATAGATTATTTTTCAACACAAAAGTTGAACTTTAATTAAAATGCAATCTGATTTCAATATAAATGTCAATTATTACTTCTCTTAAATCAAACCACAAATTTTCCGATGTGACGACGAAATAATATTATATTTATTTTCCTCACTTTCAGTGCTGGTAGGGTAATCTTAGGTCTTACTTAAAGTTTTAGTGCTTACAAGCTACAGAACTATTTACAAATCGTCCTTGTGGCCCAGTTTATCGGCTCCTGCTCCTGTTGCGATGCTTCTTGTGTTTCTTATCCTTTTTGCGGGACCTCTCATCCTTGGACCGGTCTCTTGACCTGTCCCTTGGACGTTCTGGAGACCGCGAGCGTTTCCTCTCTTTGCGCTCCTTGTCCTTTTTGTCCTTCTTCCTGCGGCCCTGTGGCTCAGGGGAAGGAGTCTTGACCAGGCCGTACCGCTTATTGCGGGGTGGGCTGGGCACAGGTTCCTTTGGCGCCACCTTTGGCTTGGCCTTTTCGGGCTCCGGTGGCGCCGAATGCATCGGAACGTGGTCGTCCGATATCCCGAATGCTTCTTTCAGCAGCTGGTTTTTGCGTTGCTGAGCGCTGGCAATTTCGTGCGTCTCTGTCGGGGCCTCCCGACCCCACTCGTCGCGCTTTGTGGACTCCCGGGCAGCACCTGTTTCGCTCAACAACTGCCTCAACGCTGCCACTTTGCCTTCAATCTCGGAGGGGCTGAATCCCTAAAGAAAAACAAGACGTTCAGTAAACAAAAATTAAGTTCAGAAATTGTTTCACTTCATTTTTACTACTTTTTTTAATGGCTGATTAATAATTTGGTTTCACATAAACATCACACAGCTTCAAGAATTTATTTTCAATCTGAGATGTTACAAGTCCATGAATTTGGTTATTGGAAAGTAGAATTTTTCAAATAACGTGTAGTACTTTATTGCTCTAATTATATTTTATTAATGGTTTGATGATGAAGTGTGTATAATTAGGTAAAAATTGAACTAAAAATTAAACTCTTTTTAAAATATAATTAAACAACTTTTGAGACTTTTCGTACCTGCTCCTCAAGAGCGTCCTCAAGTTCAGCGCACTTGATCTCCAACTTCCGTTTACGCTCATGCTCCAAAATTTCAATATTCGGCTGTCGGTTGGACGCGGCCTCGAAAGCTGCGACGTCCGATTCAGTGCAAATCTGAATCTTGTCCTTCGTAACTCGTACGGCTGCCCAATTCCGCTGCACGTAGCCGTTTGTTCCCGAGCCACGCGGCGTCGTCAAGCCAATTCCGTTGTACATCCTTTAATATGCACGTTTATAAAGTTCAGATTGATAATTGATTAAATTATTGAACGAATATTACCTTAGTACTGTTAAAAATCCGATTCAAAAACGAAAAGAAGACCGTTCTTGCGCCTTCTAGACGTCCATTACACTCTACTAGTGAAAAAATCAACAAAAAACAAATGACAGTTGCAGTAGTTCATGCGCTTCTGGCGCTATTTTTAAAATGCGCGCCAATGGCACGTGCGATCAAAATAAACAAAATAAATTGTTTCTATAATCATCCAGGTTATTATTTACTTTATGTACTGTAATAATATTTTGTATGCAAATAGGATGTAAAATGATCCGAAATAATCATACTGAGTCCATATAAAAGGAATATTTTATTTTAAACAAAAACATTCAATCTTTAGAAAACTTTAAAATCATTTTTTTGATCACAGATCTAAAAACAAATCTGTCACAAGAGGAACTCAAAATATCGTTGCGATAATACAAAAAAAATTGAACACAGTAGTGACTGAGAAAATATCAATAAAATCATTTTCAAAACAAAATTGTGATGACTCCGTCTGAAATATCACAAGAACACTTGACGATTTTCGTAAAATCAACAAATTACATTTTTCGATATATTTTATCTTTGGTATAATATCGTTGATTTGGTTAACATGATCGTTTAATCGATTATAGAATTTGGCAAGATCAGCAAGATCACAACAAAAGCGACAATCGCTTCATTTGGTTACTAGTTACTTTTTAATTGGATTTGTGGTTGTCGAAGTCAGGGTGCGTGAGGACACGCCTGATCACTATGAACGCATTCAATGTCGGGAGCATGTGTGCTGTCCCACACTCCAGGACCGCACTGCTGACAGAGCGAGCGAAGCGAGCAAGGAATCACTGGCATTCTTCTAAACTGGTATAACAAGCCACGGGCCTAAACAAAAGTTTGTTGTAATTCGTAATCCAATTAAAAAAAAAAAAACAAACATCCCAGTTCTGGAATTAAATTTTACTAAAGAAAGCAATGGGGGAAAAATAAGCAAACAAAAGAATGAAGAAAATTTTAGGGTCTGCATTTGCTTTAAATGGAAAAGAGGCTGCTGAATGCATCACTTCATCAATGTTGAAAAACAGTATGCAAATCCCACGAGGTCCCTTAACCTAAATTAATAAAATTTGAAAAAAAAACCTATTTCTACCGTTTTCTACTTCAATGTTTCATTTCAATTTTATTAGCTTTTCTTAAAATAATTTGAAAGCAATTCAATTCAATTTATTGATTAAAAAAATCACCTTGCTAAGAATAAGCTGTCCATCCATGTGCATAGCAAGAGAACTGAAGTGGAGGAGCATTTCGTCAGGTCGAAGCATTTGTTCAACAACATCGGCACCGTAGACACAGACAATAGCAAGGCTTAGAAACAAATGGAAAAAGTCAGTCAAGTAATTTGCCCAGCAAGCCTCCCACATCTGCAGAACGCATTCCTCGTTAAACTCTCGCTTGAAGCACCTGGCAAAAAAAACAATCCAAATATGTCTCAAAAAGTGAAAATTATCTTACAAAAGAATCCATCGGTGTGCAAAGAGTAGTTCCGCAGCATCAGGTTGATTTTCTATGTGTTTGTAAAAAGAGGGGCTCATCAGACGAATCAACTCTCGGAGGAGATTCTAATTCACAAAATAAAATAAATTTATCATACGACAAACCAAGAGAAAGTTTACTAAGTTCAGATCCATATCGGAATCAGTGGGTGAGCAGACAAACAGGGCTTTTTGCATCAGGTTGACAAAACAAGCATAAGCATCAGCCTCATGTTGTACTTCGACGAGAACAGGCGCCAACAGATCGGACATTCCTTGGGTGTAGCCAATTTTAGGGTGTTCAAATGCGTAGTTGAGAAGAATGTTCCTAAAATGAGATAAATTGATGGTTTCTTTTAAATTACAATAAATTTTGTACTTCATTTGCTCTAGGTGGGGGTTGTTATCACCAGCAAAGTATGAGTGGGTGCGGTCGGTTCTGACAACATCTTTCTCTACCACACATTCAATAGTTCTGTAGAAAATTTCCAGTTCTTGTCCAGTTAAGTTCCTTCTTTGCCTCCTAAAAATTTTTTAATTAAAAACGTCATAAAAAAAAATCAAAATTACGTCAAATCATCGTAGTGGGATCGGTTTTCCAAGAGCTGGTTGTGTCTCTCATCTGTAGTAGACTGGAAGGAGTACACCCTGAGCAAAAAAGGCCACACGGTGCTTCGAAGACTTGGCTCGAGACCACCAAAAAACGCTGCCTGGAAAAAGGAAATAATAAAGTGTTAAAAATTTGCTTTATTAAATTATCGGAGCGAATTAAGGGGAATTAAGTAAAAAAAAAAAAACAATAAACAATAAAAATAAATTGTGGAAAATGACATTTTTTATCTAATTGATCTAATTCTCATTTCATCATATTTGCATGTATCATTTATTTGATTTATTTTACCATTTATTTCTGGAATTTAATTTTTTTATAATAACAAAATGATATTTATCTATCGCAATGTTTTCAATATTATTAATGACCTTCAATAAATTAAATTAGATGTATTAATTATTATTTTGATTAATGAGAGTGTAACGGACCTTCCTCAAGGCGAGGTCGTCCTGGACATTGCCTTCTGGAGTGAGAAGTGAGAGCCACACATCCTTGTTTAAAGACGAAACACGCCCCTCCTCAGGGTGCAGTTCCGACGGACTGACCTCTGGCCGGCACACCAAGAAGTGCAAGTAGGGGCCGTCCATTGAGCCTTCCCGAGTGCCCTTTGGCCGAAGCAGGCAGCTCCACTCAGCCAGGACCCGTCCGAGACGTCTCAAGCCTCCATGGTGGAAGTGGAGAATTTTGTACTGAGACTCTCGAGACGCCACCACGAGCTGACCCGAAGCTTCGCCTTCGTTGCCTGCCGCCTCACAGCCACCTCCGCTTGACAAGAGACGCAATGACCGCATTTCACCTGTAATAATATTTATGTAAGATGAAGAAAATATTTAGAAATATTCAAAACATCACATTTTTTTAATAAACTGAAAAAAAAGGAAATTGACCTTATTCGCAAAATTTGATTTAAAATTAAAATCGTTTAACTTTCATAGAAAAAAAAAGATTGTTCAAATATTCACTGAACTATGTTTTTTAAATTAAATTAATAGAGTAGATGCAAAAAAAATGACATGTGTAACATAGATTTTTTTTCATTTAAATTATATTTGCCTCCTCTAACTAATAATATTAGCCATTCTTTAGGGCAGCGAATTACAAAAGAAACTTTTTGATTACTAATTTTGAAAGATTCATACTCAGATCTACAGTAAATCTTCGGCAGCGATGAGATGATTTTCTCCGAACAACCGGAGAGGCAGCGACGCTTTCAGGAAACACCAAATTGTGTTGCACGGCCAACATTTCCGGAGACACCATCCAATTTGGCAATTCATCTGTAAATAATTATAATAAATTGCTGGTCAACATGGCGACAAGATTAAAAAACCAACCAGGCCCTAGAGATTTCGTATCGGTGCAGGAAGACGAGGCAGAAGTCACAGAGTCGGACCGACTTCGAGGTAGAGGTGATAAAGCTTCTTCAACGCTCATGGTCTGAAGACGATTTCTGAGCACGTCAGCACCCTCGGCCCAGTCTTCGCTGGACACCCTCCTAGGGCTGCCCAACTGCATCCCTTCATCCCAAATTGGCTCTTCGAGTCCGGTCCAAGACAAACCATCACTACAGATAAAAATTACTTCCAATTAGGTTTTTTTTTCAAATTTTAACCTAGTAAGAATGTCAGGGTGCGATGCTCGTTTTTCCACGGTCCAAGGGTTGGCTTTAAGGGTGGCGTTGGGAATCCAACTCAGGACTAGGGTGGGTTCGTTTGGTTCCAAACGCCGAACCGAAATGCTCAGGTAGCCTGGGTGGTGGTGAACTTCCAGGTCCCGTCTTGCAAGGGTAGGAGGGTGCACGCAAACGTTGTTCTTGCCTGGGGAAAAACATATATATTTTCATTCAAAATTACTTTTAGTAGATAATTATAATTAGATGGTTAGATAAAACTCACAGAAAATCACTTCGCCGTCGACGAAGGGTGGCACTATCACTTGGGTCTGTTCCTCGGTGGAGCCGCTCGAGGCTACGAAAAGTCCTGAGGCTCGCTTAAAAACGCTATGCAGGGACATTTTTTATGTTTTCTATTCCGCCCTCGTCTTCACGAGCCTCAGGAGAGGCGAGTGACGAAATTTTCAGCCCTGTTGATGAAATTTCAGCCGACTCGTCAATGCGTTTAGATGCCTAAATTTTCTTCTGCGTTCATTGCTACTCTCCATTTCTTCATTAACATATCGATTGATATCGATGAAATCAAGCTTTAATGAGGGAAAATTTAATTTAATAAAAAAAACATGAGATTCGTTGAAAAGAGAGTTGAAAAAGTGAAAAAAGGTATTAGAGACGAGGGCGATGTGTCAAAACTACAAAATACCACGCCCCCTTTCTACCTGCTAAAAATCTTCAACAAAAGGCAATGCAGCGCCACCTCGACGCACAATACCAGGCGTTTATTAGTTTTAGTTTAATTAAGTTTGGCAATTTTGTTTAATAAAATATTTTATTTAGAAGTTTATAAGAATTTTTTCTTTTATTTTTACATTGATTGATTTAACCAAGTTGCTATAACTTCTTTTTTTTTTTTTTTTTTTTTTTAATAAAGTATATTATTAATTTGAAACTTGAAAATTCAGCAAAAAAAGTTACAAATTTTATAATTTATCACCTTTATTGTTATCTGTATAAAATACAAACATAAAATACATCAACCACCACTAAAGCATAAAAATACAACTTTTTGTAACATATATGTTTTGGTTATTAGAAAATATATTTTCTAATAACCAAAACTAATCACATGAACTCAAATTGTAGTAAGTATAAATAAAATGAAATATATTTCATATATGTAATTTTTTTAATTTATAAATGTATCAAAATTTTGCAAGATTTGTTTCTTTATCAAATACCTTCTTGTCAGGGTGTTTCAGGGCCACCAGCCCACCAAGCCGTTTTCGTGAATAGGAAATTTACATTAATAATATAATTAACAAGAGTCTGTTATTGATGGGTATTGAGGGCAAAAGTGTTTTCGGGGAAGTAAATTTGTCATTTTAATGATTAACGTGTTTCCTAAGAGTGACAATAATTGGTTTTTATTGTGCTCAAATATTTTAATATTATGTGATATTATGTAATATATCATGTAATGAATAAATTCTTAATGTTTAATCGTTTAATCAATAAGCATCAAATATTAATAAAGGAAGATATTTTGCGTATAATTTTCTGAACTAAATTTATCTTAAACTATATTTAAGAAACACATCATTACACAACGCAATAAGTTTTCAACTGAATAATTTTTTCATAAAAGAATTTTTGTACAATTTATTTTTCTTATATTTTTAAAATACTCGCTGCACTCAACTTTATATAAGCATCTCAGTACTCAAAGTCAATGGAAAAGGACACAAAATTTATGATTGAAAAAAATGTGATATATAGTGTATATATAATAAATTTTAAACAAAAATGTTCATTTTCTCATTGCTCCCCGCCATTGGCTGGGTTTTCTTCATTGACTGCTTGATCATTACCTGGTGGAACGTCATTTGCAGGAGACTCTGCAGGTTGAGGGTTTCCATTTGGCGCTGGATTTGGAGCATTTTGTGCAATAGTCTTCATTTCATCTTCAGGTATTGGTTGTGCGCCAGTTTTATTTTTACCGATTCCGTCACTACTGCAAGGTTGGATTTCAGTGCCAATGATAATGTTGTTCGTGATTGCTGGGTTTTTCAGAAATGAACATTTTTTGGTAAATTTAATGTGCTCTTCTCTGACAGTGTCATCTTCCTTCCATTCTTTAATTTCAACTTGGCAGAAGTAACATTTACATGTGTCTTCTCCTATCTTGTTCATGAAATAGAAACCGTCTATGGCCAGTTCAACCCAGCTAATGGGACAATTTGTGTTCACCCAGTTCATGTTTTGAAAGGAGTGAAGACGGTGCGCTTCGAATTTATAATCTTCAATCATACTTTTGAATTTGAAAATGTTTTGTCTCGACGAATTGACGCAATTGTGACGTTCTTTTAATTGGAGGTGATTTTCCACCTTGATTTCAGATTTATCACAAAATTGGCAGTGCAGACGTTCATTTGTAAAGTAGAAGCCGAGGTTGGCCAATTCAAACGGCTTGACACCAGGATAACGTTTTTCAAAATCGCATGGATAGGTCAGGCAACGGTGCAACTCTAAATTCAAGTTTAGTGGCCGATCCTTTGGGAGTTCTAGCAGGGAGTATAAGTCTGAAAAATGATATTTAATATTTACACGTCAGCAACATAATTCTGAAATATTAAAAAAAAAAAAATCGAAAAATAAATGTGTCAACCTAGTTTAATTATTCATTATTCGTTCCGCATTGGATGATTTTTACATTGCTCCATGCAGTGTAAGGAGGAGTTATTAAAACAAAGCAATACTAGGCATTTTAAAAACATCTATGCTCTGCTGGATATTTTATAATCTCTAGATGTTTGTAAAATATTAAATTGTTTAAGCATTTTAATTTTTTAATCATGTGCAGAACGCGCATTTTTGCTATTAAATTAAGTGTGAAAGTTTTAAGAGGCGCTTATTCATACATGCGAGGAGTTGGAAGATGCTGCGTCTTTTATATTTTTTCCCAATAGGATTTCAAATCAACTTCACTGCTCTTTGCAGTTTCAATTAGCAATTTTTCACATTTCCCAAGTTTAAATTCTAATTGTAAGTAAAGGAGTGAAGCTCTAAACAATAAAAGTGACATTCTCTTCAGTATCACAAATTCCCAAAATAATTTTGCTGATTTATTTTTGAAGTTTCTGAAAATGTTAAAACCCTGCTCAATTATAAGGATGCAATAAACCAAAAGTTACAAAATTTTTTCCAGATTTATATTATTCTATTTATTTTGGGCCCGGCGCTTCCAACCAAGCTTGAGGCGTTGTGGATGTTATAAGCAAGCGGCAAGTTCATTTCCATTTCAAGCTTTTAATTATTATTAAGTTCAGATTTAAAAAAGAAAACAACGTGCATGAGATAAACTGGAAAATTATAAAATAATTTCAATACCTTCTCTAGTCCTCGAAACCATTTTTCAGATTAAATTTGTTGCCCCCGAGACTTTTAAAGTATTAACTATTATCGATCGCTAAAAGGCCTACGTCGAAATGTTATAGGAAACCAAAATTTTAGATATTCGATCTATTGGGAAATGCACTACAAACTGAAATGGAGCTAATAATTTTCTGAGTAAGTTGCTTGAAAACTAATAACAAGGAAAATATGAGTAGCTCTAGAATTTGGGAGCCATGATGGCAAAACACGCCCATGTGAAAAAAAGAGTGATTGGGCCAAGATTGGGCTGTGCGCCGAGGCGCGATATAGTATGCACACTCGATCTAGCGCAAAATCTCCTAACTATGCGCACGCAAATGTCAGAGTGCATTAATTTTCGCTAACTTCCTTTTGTAAAAATGATTCTAAAAAAGTCAACCGTTAAATAAAATTATATATTTCCCTTTAAAAATAAAAATTGTTGACAGTGACATTATAATTATGATTCAGAAGAATTTTAATTCAAGCGCTTTTGAAATTTTTCCACATTATATGGATTAATATGCTGCAGTATCAATGGGTGCAAAAAAAGATGAAATTTAACTTATATTAGCAAGGGAAAATTTTTATTATCAAGATTTTAAAATAATTGTTCTGTTCTATGACGCAAAAATCAATACATGCATAGTTTTCAATTACATAAAAAGAAATTAATATATATGCGCAAAAAAGTGTTTTCATATAAATTTTCTATGGCATAAAATTAAAAAGTATGTATTGCCTCATGCTGTAAATATACCAGACAAGATTCACATTATATTGAGGTTCATACAGATTTGGTACAGATAATTGGAATATTGCTTCCAGACAAGTAGCAATTTGTTATAATTCATATAAATATTTTGTGTATTTTATTCAGCCTATTAATATTACGCTTTAAACACACGCATAGGATAATTAATTTGTGGGTAAATAATCCTAAAAAAGCAATGTTTAGAATTTCTAATTTTCTGCTTGCTGCCCGTCATTGATTGGGTTTTCTTGAGCACCTTGTTGATCTTCATTTCCAGGCTCAGCTGCTGGAGGGTTATTTCCATTTGGCGCTGCAGGATTATGCGGACCTTGGGCATTCATAGCTTCCTCCATTTCCTCATCAGACATATCTTTGGCACCATTATTAGGTTTTCCAATTGAGTCACTATAGGTTTTTTGACATTCCGTACCGATTTTCATGTTCAGCACGTTTGACGGATTTTGAAAAAATGGGCAGTGTTTGTTAAAGTTGGTGTGAACTATTTTGCCCGTTTCAGATTCCAGCCAATCCTCAATTTTAAGTTTGCAGTAGAAACATCTCGTCTTGTCTTTTCCTTCATTCAAAAAATAGAAACCATCCGCGGCTAAGTCAACGCAGCAAACTTTGGGATTTGCTTTCACCCAATTCGAATTTAGAAAGGAATAAAGACGATGCGCCTCAAAACTGTAGTTTAAAATTTTAGAAAAACAAATATTTTCTCCCGACTCTTGAAGTTGTGCACAGTAAACTTTGTGATCATGTGACTCTAGGTAATTTTCCACGTTTGCAGTGTGACCACAAAATTGACAGTGAAGAAGTTCATCTTCAAAGTAGAACCCAAGGTTGGCTAGGTCTAAAGGCTTGGCACCAGGAAAACGTGTTTCAAAGTCGCATGGGAAAGTAAGGCAATGATGCAATTCAAATTTCAAGTTGAGAATGCGATCCTCTGGGAGTATCATGGAATAAATGTCTGTAAATATCATAAATAATTAATCAACAACATGCGAGATTTTTTATTTATATATAAATATTTGGAATACATTTGCAGAAGTTAATAAAATATGCGTACATATTTTCAACATTTTTCAAAACAATAATAATTAAATCAATTAATAATAGTTAGTAAAACTTATATTTAATACATATAATTCAACATTTTTATTTTTTTATTTAAATAATTAGGATTTAAATAACTTGCGTTTTCAAATATTTTTTAATATTATTGTTATTATACAATTTATTGTTGCTATAAGATATTAAATAAACTAACAGAGAAAAAGCAATCGAAATATAAAATTTTAGGCAGGCTAGAACTTCTGGATTGACCTCTCATTATCATCTATAATTTTTACGAATCATATCAACATTTCATAATAAATTTTTACTCGATTTGATGAGTAAACGCGTGGAAAATGCAAATAAACAAACTTCAGCAGTGTTCATGTGCATGCATACCTTTGATATTCTGCGGCTCCATTGTTGCAATTTCAGCAGTAAAACTGAACGCCTAATGTTGTCAGTGCTCAAGAGAATAATCAAATTTGACATACGGGAGGGAGTACCTCCTTGCAGTACGAGTGAACTTAAAGTTAATTAAAGTGTAGAAAAGCCAACTTTTGTGAAAATAACTTGGGACTTGTATCGCAAACAAAACAAAGACAGTTGACGGAGTTCAGGCGCATTGCGAAAGTGATAAAAAACAGAGGCGCCGGCAAGGTTGGGCTAAAATCGAAAGTGGACACAAACTCGATCTGCCGCTGAACCGTAAAACTACTCTATGAACGCCCACAATTAATTCTTGCAATATTTTGCTAAAAATATATTCTTATTGTTAGAGATGGAAATAGATTGTTATTATGGAAATCATATCAATGAATATTTATTTGATGTTAAAGGATACTTATATAATTTCTTTTTTTTGTCACAATTTATAATACATAATTTTTGTGTTTGTAATTTATAATTTATTCAATTGAAGAAGTTTATGATGGGATTGAAGGAAAAAAATACAGTATATTTTTTTTAAACCATTTTTACGCAATATGCATTCAAATTTAAAAAAAAAATGATTATTTTTCAAGATTTAAAATACATAGAAGTTCTCAAAATTATCTTTTTATATCTGTGTTGTTTTTTTAGAAAATTCAAATTGCGCTTTTGTATTTCGTACAAAGAACCCTAATAAATGCACTGCGTCGTTCGGTAAGCCTTCCCTGACATTCCCTGTGTAAAGAAAAATAAAGTGAAATATTAAATTCATTCATGATTGCCAGCAGCGTTGGACGACGAGTTTCCTTGATTCTGTTGGTTTCCATTACTTCCATCATGCTGTGATTGCTGTACCAAAGGATTTTGATTTTGTTGATTCTGTGCATGTGGAGCCTGTTGCTGTTGCTGCTGTTGCAGCTGAGGCTTTCTTTTTAATGCTTCAGATTTTTCCTTTTCGGTCATTGGTATCGCATCACACTGTATGCCTCTTCTTCCTGACATGGTAAAATGTCCTGCCAAAATAACTGACTTGTGATATTTGTGCCAAATCAATTTGGCCGCCTAAATAAGCCGGCAAATCAGTAAATTGCGTTGTCCTCAATAGAACACACTGTAAATGCAATCAAAAGGGGATACAGTTGTTTGAAAAATTAAAAATAAATTTCGAACAAACCCCAAAAACGGTTGATCTTTTAAGATGGTTAAAAGCCTAATAACGCTTTGCTACACAGTAAAAACACGCAAATATGGCTTGGCCTTGGCCTAATCTGCTTTTCAGCATGCGAGCTCAATCTATCGTGAATTAAGCAAACCATTTTTTTTTTATCGAAGCTTATTATACATACAATAGTATTCTCTTTATTCATTTCACATAATATGAGAGATCAGAGATCATTAAAATCTCGCACGCATATAACCAAAAATTATTGTAATTGAAATAAGAAATTTGGAGAGATATTTAAAGTAATATAATTTAAAAATAATAAAAAACGAGTTGTTGGGTTTGCACACCAAAATATAAAATCCACATAAAGGTAAATTATTTTTAATTCTACATTTCAACGCAATTCATATTTTTCCTCCTCAATCAATTTAATTATAGCCAAGTTTAATACAAGTAACTAATCGATACAGTTCATTTTACCACCATGCAATCATTATATGCACGCTCAGGCAAGCTTCGCGGGACAGCATCACTTTCTCTAGTACCTATTATTATTTATTTTATGAGTGAAGCAAACTCAATACGTATGCCAAAATCTGTAACCATACCGGAAAAGAAATGTTTTGTTACTTAATAAAGACTTCAATTGTTTTGTATTATAATTTATTGCTCTATACAAAGTTTAAAGTAATAATTTAAATTAAAATAAAAAGACAGCAAGTGAGCAGCGAAAGAATAATAATTTACAAGAAGACTTAAATGGATTGCACGTTTTTGGCATCTCAAACTGCGTTTTGTTCAATCCAGTCCAAATACTCGGTAACTCGAGTGTAAACGCCAGGGTAGCCTGGCTCGCCGCATTTGTTGCCAAAGGAAACAATGCCGATTTGTGTCCACTTGCCACTGCGTTTCAACATCAAGGGCCCGCCAGAGTCACCCTAGAAACGGGATTCATAATATTAATTTTTATAAATAAATTAAAAAATATTAAATATATATATTAGAAAAAATATTAAAATCGAGTGAAAATGAATATAAATTTTTATTCTAGTATGAAAATTTGAAAAAAAAAAATTGTTAAATGACGTATTGAGAAAATAAGTTTAAAAAAAATTTTTTATTGAACAAAACTTTTTAAATTTTTATATTAAAATTGCAATTGTTAATAATAATATCCAAAAATTATAAAAAAAATTCTAACCTGGCATGCATCTTTGCCACCCTCTGAGTATCCAGCGCAGATGAAACTGGCGGTGATAGGTTGGAAGTAAGAATTGTCGCAATCCTCATTTCGCCACACAGGCAGGTCAACCTGGCGCTGCACGGTGCTCTCCTTGCCCCCGTAGTAGGTGGTGCCCCAGCCAACGACAGTGGGTCGTTGACCCACAAAGTTGTCGCTCCGGAGCGCCAATTGCGGCAGACAGATTGGCGCCACGTACTTGGTGCGTTGGGCTCGTCCGTCCAGGCGTAAAAGGGCGATATCGTTGTAGAAGCCGACGCGCGAGAATTTGTCGTGGGCCTTCACTTCAGCCACCTGGAAGGTTTGCGGCAGCGAAGGCTCGTCGTCGCGTCCCAAATCGACGTCGCCGAGGCGCACAGTGAACTGACGAGCGCTGAACCTGTTTCAATATTATTCAAAAAGTATTTTAATATTAACATTTATGAATTTGTTTGCTATTATTACTATTATTTTTTTATTATTAGCTTTATTTATTGTAAACTTTCAATTTTTTGTGATTGCAAATGTCAGTAACTTTTAATAAAATGTACTTAAGTTCTGGAAAGTTAATTGATTTTTAAATATGTGTATGGAAGTGATGAAAAATTTTGAAAATTTTTAAATATGAAACAACATCCAGTAACGTGATAAAAAAATATAATATAATATTAATGTAATCGATAATTAAAATTTCTCTATCGTCATTTTTACTTTTAAAAGATTCTGCTTAAATTAATTTCTATGTTGACTACATACAGCAGGATAATTCTCAATAATAAAGAATAATTAATTTGCAAAAGTCAACACCTGATATTAATATCAGATTTTTTGAACAAATTTTAGTTCAGTTTGATTTGGCTTTGCTAAATAAACTATCACTAATAATTATTATTAATAAAAAAATTTGCCAACGTTCTTGCTGTGATAAATAAATTTCGTTAATTAAATTTTTCATAAATTTGACGGGTGAGAAATTTGTGTTTGATGTTCTAAAGTGTTTCCAATTTTATATTTGAGTGAAATTTTTTAATACGAACGGTCTTTGTCTGGTGTCTCTGGTGCAATGAGCCGCTGTTAGAACGTAGTTTTCAAGCAACAAAGTGCCTCCGCACCAAAACTCGGTTCTCTTGGAACCGTGCAGGAATATAGCAGCCATCCAGGGCCAACGACCAGGAAGAGATTCCGAACCACCCACCACGCGGAATTTCGCAGTTTCGGAAACACCACACTCTGCAAGTAAAAGGGATAAACAAAAACAGTATAAGATTTACCTAATGCCATTCAGCTTATATTATAACAACCAGATAATATTTTAGATATTCAATCATGCCTAAAAAAATTTTTTTTCTCTTTTGTTATCACAACAATTAATTTTTAAAAGATATATATATCTTTTTTTTCCTTTCAGTTATTCTGAAATATTCTGCAGATATATGTTTAAAATGAATTATTTATAAATAACTAGTTGAAGAAAAATATTAAAAATGGTTAATTTTTCAACAAGAAAATGTAAAATTAATAATTTTAATTAAAATTACCATTTTGAAAGATGTTGTTGCTTGACGCGGACGCAACGTCTGTTCCAATGGCAGGCGGTCGAACAACAAAACTAGGCCGACGAGTCGTCGCTGTTGTCGTCGTATACGGTCTGTAGGTCGTTGTCGTTGTTGTTGTTGTAGGCCTGCTTGTAACTGAATCGGCGAAACTGAAAAAATTATAAAATTAAATTAATCCTTTTTTGGAGTAAATGAATTTTTACCCTGATTCGGAGCGAGGGCAGCAAACTCCTGGCACAAAGAGAGATTTGAAGCAGATTGACTGTCTCAGGTTGCCCAGGTCAAGCAATAGAGACGGACAGTCGCTCAGGTCGTCACAATTTCCAGCGTGACCTTTGGGGGTGGTGCAGGGTCGATCTCGGATGCCCTGTTTCTCCTCCGTGTCCAATGAAGTGGCAGGCTTTTGCTTTTCATCGTCGCCGTCCCTGACAACCACTGTCGGCAGCTGAACGCCTCGTACCTTTTAAATAATCAATATTTAAAAATCCTTGTGTTTGCGTGAAAGAAAAATTCTCAATAATACAAAAATAATAATAATGTCTTTTAGACTTTGGTACAGTTTATTATATTATTTGTTAATTTGAATTTGGTTAAAAATTACACCAAATAATTGATTCCTATTTTTTCCCAAATAATAATCAGAAAAATAAATGCTTTAAATTATGTCCTTAAGTACAATTCTGGGAGATTTTAAATTTAACAAAATAATTAAATTTTCCACACCAAAGGAGCAATAGTGTCAGTGACGTTTGGTCCAAGGACGGTTTTGCTCAACGTGTAAATGGCACCTCCGAGATCCTCCTGAGGTTTCGGCTGCTGAGCAACGACGTCCCTGTCTGGTCTGTTGTTGCTCGACGAATTGTTTGGTTCTTTTCGAGTCATGCCGACCAGGTAGCGGCCCAAAGTGTTAAGGGCACCCAGGGTTTCTGTGATTTTGGCAATCGCGCCACGACCCTGATTCTGCTGAAAAAAACGAAACAAATATCTCTGTCATATTGATTTCAAAATTTGAATTTGTCAAATTTAATTTTATGTCATTTTATTATTTTCCGCATCCAAACCATGTATGAGTTTTCATAAAACCAAAAACCAAATAAAATAAATATTAATTGACCATTGTTATTTATAATTAAAGTATGAAAAATAATCATCTAACCATGGTTTCTCTCATTCTGGCAAATACGCCACGGGTTTGATTCTGTTAAAAAAAATACAAAAAAATCAATATCATGAAGTAAATTTAATAAAAAAAAATGATGGTTTATTAAATTTTAAAATTCATATTACAAAAGATCATTTACTAACCTGTCCATTATTTTCTCCACTGTTGTTCAATTCATCTTGCCTTTGATAAGGAGAAGGTAATCTCACTGGACTCTGCAACTGCACTGGCTGCCATGGCTGGAAGGACTGGCCGTAATTGTCATACCGAACTATTAAAAAGAAAATATATTAAAATACATATATCGTTGTTACAATTTTGCTCGTTGCTGTATCCGAATCAGTTTCATATCAAAGTAAACTTGAAATATTTTACCTATTTTTCATAAATGACAAATCATCGGTCAAGGTTAATTAGGCATCTTTTTCCATGTCTCAACAGAGAGAATTTTTAACAAAATCTCTCATCATTTTAATTAATATTAGCAAATATGAGCAAATATAATGAGATATTTAGTCATTTATTAAAATTTAGCTTAATTATTATCAGCACAATTTTTTTGGTAGATTTAACTAAATTAATTGTCTTTGTGTCTGAATACTTGAGATTTTTGTTGTTATTTATGTTTTAAAGACAATTCAATAGCTTTATTTGAACTGAGCAATAATTTAACACAATTACCACAAATTATTTTAAATAAGTACGCAAATGCCCTCTAAAAATCTAAACAAAAGGCAAAAGAAAAATTATTTTATTAAACAAAAAGAATTATAATTTACATAAAAAAAAGGTATTTTGTATTTCAAACGTTCAAAGAAACGATTAATGTTTACTTACTATAAATTTATCCAATTATAAATTTATTTAAATACATATTACATTATAATATACATGCATACATACATGTTTCCCTTTAAAAATAGCCCATTTCATGACATTCATAGAAAAATTTAAATTTCTTATTCCTTTCCATACTAATCATTATACTATAACGTTTTCTTTGTTAAATCGAGTTGATTTTTAGACTTTTAACCTCCACCATCAGTCTTTCGCGTTTCGTTTGCCGGCTGTTTGTTCCGCTTATTTAACGCGCTAATCGCCGCATCCCGCGCACTTTCTCTGGCTGAAAGCTTTAATAAATCTCTCGCCATGCAAATTGAACAAACTATCATCAAAGCACACTGAAGACAAATGTAGCACTGACATTAGCTGAGCTGTAAAAACCAACACCAGCCGCGGTCTGATTGAAAAATCGCGTTCGAGCTGAACGGAAGGAAAAAGTTACAGCTAAGAGAGAACTATAAATAAACGCTTTCAAAACAGTCATTGTTGTGATGTTTCACGTAACAATTATCAAATTAAAGCCTGCAAATGCATTTCTGCGAATTTTCTAATGAAAGGAATAGAAACAGAAGCCAGCTGGATCTTATTTTTAGGAATTGGAGACTTGTGTGGAAAACTATAAAAATTCAAAGTATCTTGATCCAATAATTTTCTTAAAATGAAAGTGATTTTTTGTAACAAAATTTAAACAAAGCTTCCTTATAAAAAAAGATGTCTGCCCATCAGAAAACTTTGGACTTTTATAAATTTGTCCAAAATAATTAAACTTTTATAATCTTTACTCAATGATATACATACATGGAAATATAAAATCTATGAAATTTAATAAATTTTCAGAATGTTTCCAGTACTGTTAAATAAATATAAGTAAATTTCTTGGCTCTAAAATCTGAAACTTTCCTTCAGAAGTCACGCAACTGCTGGGCTGTAATATTATTTGAGACGCGGATGACTAATATTTACCGCAAAGCACTTTCTCTAGGTCAACAGGACACAAGCCGGCGCTAACTATTTGCACGCCGAGCAGGGGAATACCTCTAGCCGTGACTTTTGTAATTCGCAGTCAAAATAAATAAGCGCGTGTGATGTTTTGATTGTGTAACGCCATAAAAAAATCCGCATGACATCTCAATTTGTCCCCATTAACAAACATTGAAAATGTCATTGTTGTTAAATTTTAACGAATCAGCCACAAGTGACTTATGGAAAAAATTTGCTTACCAGCTGGTTCGAATTGGTATTGAGCAAGGATGTTGGGGACTAGAAGAATTAAAACCACAAGGTGGGCAGCTGCTATTATACGTGCTGGTCCATCTGGAAATGCAATAAATGTGGGTTAAAAATTTGCATAATTACTTTAATTGCATGACAAAATCACTCTATTGTTGGGTATGAATAAATTCAAGCAAAGTGAGAGTGGAAATGAGAAGAAATTGTTAAGATCCTTCTGCGGAGAGGGAAAGCAAAAGGAGCGAACAGGATTCAGTTTCGGCAAAGCACCGCACGATTCTCACACCTAAAAGATGATGTCAGAAGAGATGGTGGATTTTCTCACATAGATAATTTGTTTGCAAACTAGCTGCTTCCGTTTGGAAAAATTTCTTGTTAACGTAAGGAAAAAGTAAATAACAAAAAATAAATCATAAATTATTCTTCTTTTGAATGAATCAATAAAAAATTAACTTGAGACTTATGTTAAGATTTTATTTAGTTGTTTATTGCGTAATCAAAAACATAAATCACCCTTCCGTCCTTACTCATGCATAATGATGTACTAATAACGCTCAGCAGGTAATGATTAACATGGACCGGCAGCTTTATACAGAACATCTCTTCTATGCTATGTTTATCCTTGTCTCTCACTTTCACTGCCGCTCGGGATAAACCCATTAGGCAAACAGCGGCAGAAAAACTCACTCACAACTCAAGCATTTTTACAGCTGAGAGTTATGAGACAAAGTTTCCTTTCAGAGGATTGTAAAAAAATAGAATTTCTTATAATGCAGTGAGTTTTTTATTTAACTAGCCTTTTTTTAATTGACGCGGATTTACAGTCGCGGTGCTGCTACTCTTTTGAGGAGTGATTCATAAGCACAGTTCCTGCTTTCGCCGGTTGCATACTGGGTGCATATTCGAGAAGGGAATTCCCTTTTCCGATTCACACTCTGGCGTGTGTGCGACTTTTCAATGATCACTTTCACCGCCCACGATTCGAGCGAGCTGCTTTGCAAAACGTGATGAAAATGCAGAGCGAAGTTTTCAATAATAAGAACAACAGCTCTTGAATAACTCAATTTGTGACCGGAATTTTAATTTAAAAATCAGCTGACGAGGGGTTTTATGCCAGAGACTATTATGAATGCGATTTGCAAATATAAGTTTCCTTGCAATGATAGGTTATTGATTTTACTAAGCGTTTCATTATTTATTTAAAAAAAATGAAGATAATTTTAATCTTTAAATTGTAAGCCAACACCTTTTTATCCTGTATTATTTACTATTTTCAATTTTTTATATAAATTAATTAATTGAATTGAGTACGTAAGTTGTTGATCTAAAAATTTGCATGAAATGGATCCAGAATTAATGCGTTTTGAAGTGAATTTGTTTTGTAAATTTCCATATTTTTTGTAATTGATTAAATTTCCTTGCTTTCACAACACAATATTACAGTCGATTAGCATAGAATGGACTCGGGTCGGTCAGGTCCTCGGATGAGAATAAACAAAATGTCACCTCGATGCTCAGAGAGCGGATCAGAAAAGAACCTCGACTGACTCTCTATTGCCGCTGAGACAGCCGGATAATGCGGAGGAACTATTGTGTGCCTTGGATCGAGGAGGAGTGAAAATGAATTAAACAGTTTCTCTCGCGGCGCGGCCTGCATGAAATTTATGAACGCGTGCGTTTATATTACAATAAAGAGCGCGCACACAGCATGCAAACGGCAGGGTTTCTCAAAGGTCTCACTATAATCTCGACGCCCACAGAATGGAATTTCAAAGAGAAAGAATGAAAGAAACACATGCACGCGGGCGAATTGACGCAAAAAGGGAAAACAACTGCAGTTCTACGCGATAATATGGGACAAAAATGAAATCTTCGTAATTAATCTCCTAATTATTGATTAAATTTTTATTAACAATCGCATTGCTAGATTGTTAAAAAATAAATTTAATATCTAGAACCAATTTTTAAACACTAGCTTTGACCGATTTCAATTCATTCAAAATGAGATTCTTAGTTGCGGCAGAGCATCAATATTTATTTATTTATCAGTTTTAATAATTCACAATTTATTTAAAAAAATAATTATGATAAAGACGAAAATGAAATTAAAAACATAACCAATAAAACTATGTCTAATTGTAAAAAAGTAAACTGTGTTTAAAATAATATTGTAATAAGTTTAAATTTTGAGCAAAAATATAACAGCTAATAAATTTGGATTTTCTTTTTTAAAACGGACAAAAATTAATTTCAAAACCAAATAATTTATTTCAGGCCTACCTGCTTTGGTGAGCAGCATGGTGTGTGAGTGCGGGTGGTGCAGAAGTACAACGTTTATTCCATATCCTCTAAGGGACGATTCGAATGCTCCAACACAGATAAAAGCACCTTTCTGACTGACTCGTCGAAAAATGACCTGAGTCGCGTCTACCTGAAGAGCAAAAAGGGTTGGGCGCCGAGGGAGAGGGGCGGACAGGTAGACGCGCGCGGCTGCCGGAGAAAGTAAAAGCCAAGGTTGGAGTTGCAGTGAGAGTTTTGCTCTTTACTTTCATTATACGCACACATCTATCCATCCGTCTTCCCGCGAATCAAGCAAAAGTGCATTCGCCGCCAAGTCACCATTGTAATGAATGGGAAAATCAAGTGCGAAATTAATTTCTTCCTATGTCAATTTGCGATTTACACGCCGCTTATTTGAAAGTAAATTTCAAATTGCAAGTTTTATTTTAATAATTTGTGTAATGTATTTATTTGTTAAAAAATCAATTGTAATTTTAATAATTAATCATATATTCTGCTTTTTTCTTGTAAAGGTCATAAGGCAAAATTTTTTGAAAATTTAAGATGATCAAATTATTAAAAAATAAAATATTGATTTGCCACACAACCTAGTCAATTACCCTCAATAAAATTATAAGCAATTCCGTGTTATTTGAAATAAAATAAAATCATACAACACTTTTTACATGCAAATAATTAAATCAAACTGGAAAAAATATACATAAATATAAAAACTATAGCCTCAGTTCGATAGTATGTATTAGGAAAAAAATGTGAGCTATTTCTTATTTGCGAGTTTTCAACATTTCCTTCGATGACAGGGACATTTTCACGCTCAGCGGCAAGTCTAAATTAATCCCATTACACGCTTTGTAATTGACTTAACAGGTTAACAGTGGAAATATTTCAAACTTTTTATTAAGAAACGCGTACACCAATGTTTGAAATAAAAAAATGTGTCGCGCCAAGTGAAAGAAATTGCGGCGCAGTGTCGCCAGTCTCAAGTTGCATCAATGTGAGAAAAAAGAGACTTCCTGCAATTTGAGGCAGTGCAAGAGAGTGCATGTTGCAAAATATAGAGCAAAATTCTGAACTCATCAAGACGTAATTGATATAATCATAGCAAAGCCATAAAATATCAACACAAGATAAACATATTGAATAGCACTGAAAAGTTAAATTATTAAATTTATCCATTATTGCAATATTTAATCGTATTTAAAACTTCTATTAATGAATATTTTGTATACTCATCCTTATAATTGGAAGCAATAGTAAAACTAATTTGACATTGACAATTATTTTTATTATTATAATTTTTTTTATTTTTACATTTGAATGAGAAAAAAAAAATCAATATTTCTCGTCCTGGCAGTTAAAAAATCCCATCGAATAGTCACTTGAAAATTACATCACATCTGAATAAGCGACCTGCGCTGTCTCTGCGTAACAAACGCGGACATCGCCTAGCTCTCGTCTTGGATTGTTACAAAATTCTGAGGTCGGGTTTTCCCCCAAGAAAAGTAATTATTATTTTGGTTGGTGCGAGCACGTCTCTGCGCAGGCGGACTTTTTTTTATCCCTAGTCGATTTGAAGCGTAGCAAGATCGGAATTCGTTCGGTCCGGCAGCGAAGATGAGTCGTGATAATCTTTATTTTTTATCTCTTTTATATCACAGCAAATCTCGGTGTATAGGTGTTGTGCGACCTCTGTTATAAGGAACTAGCATCTGCAATTACGCCGGCTGAGAGAGCGACACAGAGATGAGCGAGACGAGCAGGTTTTCTGACTTTATGCACTTTCTCTTTCGCACACACAGCTGACTGGTGAGCGTAATATGGAAAACCAATCTGCAGAATAAGGGAAAAAACTTGAACTTCACTTTCCATTCAATTCATGGACAATTGTTTACAATTAAATTGTATGTATAATTATAAAAAATATTTTCATTAAATTAGTAAAGACCTTCAAATTATCCTTTGAGGGTACGCAGATTATAATAAAAATTTACCTTGCATGGAGCATCTATTTTATGTAAAGATAAGATAAATTTAGACTCTATAATTTTCAACACTAAAAATATTTAAAATTAAGGCCAAGATATTACTTCATTTTTTATTGATACGAACATTATATTTTGGTGTCTTGTAGAAAAAAATATTTCGCAGAACTCATTGAATTCACTGTTATTGAATTGAAATTTTTTTAAATCAAACAAAAGATTTTTGCCAGGTTTTTATTTCAATATATATATTATAGCTATATGTATATTACAATCCTCAATAGCAGACATCATTAATATTAATTATTAAATATTAGATTAGATTATTATTAGCAGATTGAGATTTAATTAACAAGTGAAGTCGGTACAGACTAGCTTTAATAATAATAATCATATTAATGATATTCATAATAAGGATTCTACATAAGAGTTGGTTTCCTCGTCAAAATGTACACAAACTTTGGAACAATTAAAAGATAAGAAAGAAAACGGAAATCAAGGTTTTACACGTTTCGCAATAATTAAATATTAATATATAATAGGTATGAAAATTTTTGGTTAAAATTTGGTCTCAATATATCATATAGTTATAAATTGTGTATGCAATCCTGCAGGACAATCAACAATCAATTATCCGCTCACGTAACAAGTGTCGAGAGAACTGATAAATGTACACGAGTTATTTGAATGATCTCTTGTTCCAATACGTGCCTCATCCAACAGGACACACGACAAGAAAATTACTTACACACGTCTACTAAAGGACAAGAACGCAAAGGCTGCCGACGATTATTTTTTTTCATTATATTTTAATTTGAGGACAAACTGCTTTTTCATAACAGGCTCTACAAATTTTATTCCCTAAATTGAAAGGATTTCTCGTTATTTCTTCTTCTTCTTTCGTAGGGTTATGCATATGTTAAGAAAGAGGCACACAATACACAAGTTTTGCTGTTGCTGGTAACTCACTAATTTTTCTGCTCGTACACAATTTTTATTTTTACTCGTATCGCAAATTAGTGAAGGTTACTACAAAAGCAGTTTCCGATTTTGTTCACATTCACCGGAGATTTTTTTACATCAGAGTCGATTTCAAGTCGGCTACTTTGGTATTTTTTTATGAGATTACATTCCAATCTACGTGACTACTCGAGAAATAGAGTCGAACGAAACACTGGACTGATTTGATTATAGCGAGACAATTTTGGAAATTGGTCAAAAATTATATCATATATAAATATAGGAATTGATATGAGATATCCGCACCAGCCAATGTTTGTCAACCAAATATATGAGATCTTTGAGAAATACGTAGTCGAAAAACAATATATACGCAGGAATACAGATTTTTTTTCCAATAAATAGTACGATTTTTTTCGCTTGATATGCATGAGAGTTACAATAATTTTTGATTAACACATTTTTAATCGGATATGGTGTTTCTTTCTGCTTTGAATTATATCACTTGAGAAAAGATTCAGAAAAGTGTTTCCAATCGGCATTTGAAATTTCTTGTTAAAATGTAAATATGTATTTTTTTTCAAGGCATGGTATTTTTTTTAAATGATATGACTGAATTTCCAGCAGACGGTTTCTATAGCCAAGTTGAGCGCCAAAAAGGCTACACTTACATCAGACGGCTCAAAAGTCTTCTGGTCGGAGACCGATATAATTTTTGTTTCATAAATTTCTCTTCTGTATATTTTCCAAACCAGTCGACCTTCGATCAAAAAGGACGCTGAATTTTCCTTGCGTGTAATTTTAGTTCATTTTTTCCCAGTTTTTATATAATAATTGAATCGCGAGAGTAAATCCTAAAATTGTAAGGTTCATCATTGATATGTTTAGTTGCCGACGAAATTGGTTTTCGCGCGCTAAGCTTCCACGTTTTTGAGCTTTATTGGTATATATGTGATAGGTTGGTTTTTGTTATATTCCGAAAATTTTGTTTGTTTCTTCCTCCGAGTGTCTTTTGCTACTTGTCTTGGCGCGTCGACACTACTATTCACGCAATAGACGCACAGTGAACAGCGATCAACACAACTCCCGAGTAGTTTGTTTTATATCCTTTTGTTCTGCCCACAATGGTCACACTATATTATATGATGTACATATTATTACATAATAATTCTAGTTTAATATTCATATATCAATAGAGTTTTACGCACTAGTTAAGTAGTAATACACAAAAGTTCAACTTCCTTATCGGCATGGACGGAATGTTGCAAGATGCATTTTTTATTACTTGGGTCAGCGACGGACCAAATTTTTTGTAAAAAGTCATTTGATTTTTGTCAAAATTTATTTCCTCCAACCCAAGTGGTAAAAAACAAACCTTTCGAGATTTTGTGTAACATTATTTCTGGTACCGCGAAAACAACACTTCTACATTTTCTTACACATCTCTGGTTTTAGTTTAATTTTTTTTTAATAATAATTTATCATATAGCAACCATGAAACACACAAACAAATTGATGGTTTTGTTGTTCTTGTTAGTACGTTACACTTAATTTTAATTTTTCTTTCGCTTAAAAAGAGTAGAGCAGGCTAATTTTAATACATCAAACTCTACAACTGCTTTTTCACAAATTTCACCTTTTGCTCTCATTGACTGCTGCGTTTAGCGACTACGACTTTTTAATTTTTAAACTGCTTGCTAAAGAACTGCCTTTTACTTTTTTTAAATTCATACACGACGCCTAAATTGACGGACTCGGATGACGGAAATTTGGTGTCCGAAGAACCTCACAGGCGGCCCAAAACCGCTTCAGTTTAAGTTGCAGAAATTCAAATCTCGCTACACACAATAATAATAATTTAAAACGACGCGTGCAATTTCAGTCTGATCATGCAGTTCTGGGCCGCGGTCCTCTTTCCAAAAATCAACCAAATTTCCCGCCATTACCGGTCTGAACTTTCTTTCTTTATTTGTAACGTTACGCTTTTTAATAACTTACACAATTTTTGTTTGTTTGTCGATCTCAAAATTTTAAGTCACAAGGTTTTAAATATTCGATATGTATCATTAAGCCACATTCGCTTACTTTGTTTAACTACCACATCGTCGAGTGAGTTGTGTACCCTTTTGAGTGTATATAAAAATCACTCAGATTAATTTTTGGAACTGAAAAAGATTCCTTTTTTTTTCTCAAATAATTCAAATACAAACATCTCACTTAAAAAAATAAAATAACACACACAAGACCGTAACAAACAAAAGGCTTGAAAATAGTCCAGAGATTAAAATTTAAAATTAAGGAATAGTGTCGGGCGCACCTGGTGCGTCTCGTTTTTCAAAGTCAATATTTTTCCGTCGATAATTAAGCATCAAAAGGCATGTTTAAAATTCCAACAGGACAGATATTTCTGATATGTTTCGTTATTATTTTCTCCTCTTTTTTTCTGGATATGTTTCGTCTCTTTGTGTGGATTGTCAATAGTCTGCGTAATTATTTTAACTATCAACACCAGAGGGGTGAGAAAGGCAATAATTAATTATAATTACAGATGAAAAATCCGATTCTTTGGTGAACTTGTATGTATAGATAAACAAAAATCGATGACAGACGGTTGTTCATTATCTAAACTTACGGCTGCGAAGTTGAGTAAATATATAGTTGACTTTTTTCTCAATTGTGGAATGTGCGTTCTTTTGGTACTAAATGCAATCAAGGATGGAAAAATAACGATCACAATCAATCAATCAACCGCTCTCTGTCATCATCACATGTGGTTATATCCTCAGTTTTTGAAGGGAATCAATTTTGCTGCCTTTTGTTTTCAAATGTAGTTCTATCAGAAAGGGCTCAGATCGAGAGACGCGACTTTTACACAGCTATTTTACATATTAAGTAGTAATTTTACGCGCGCGTTTGCTTTTTCTCTTGTAACTATTTGAATGCGTATTGCTGCTGCAGGTCTAAAAGACGAGTTGCTGCTGCTCAGGGCGCAGGAAATTCAAGAAGGGCACCGTTGGTTATTTTGATATCGCTTGGATTATTTCAGATGAGATGACCAAACTCTTCGATCTTAACACCTCCCTAAAATAGAAAATGACTATTATTAAAACATGAAGTTTAATTTATTAAAAGGTAACAATTGTTGTTCAATTTTAATAAATCTTATATAATTTAATAAAATATTAATATTTTTCTTGTTATAATATATTTTTGTAACTTGTATTCCTTATTATATTTTTTGAAATTTTAATTGCCTAATCTTCAAAAATAATATAATTTGACTTTTAAATTTAATAAGTTTTTATGATGGCAAATTCAGGTATAGAGTTTTACTCAAATATTCAATTGCGATAATCTATTTTTTGTAATTTTTGAATGTGTTGGAATTTGGGATATTGATAATTTATCACACTCTCTCAGTTAGCATTTTCCAAAAAACAAGATCTCTTTGAAAAAAAGAATGATTAAAGAAAGTCACCTTACTTTATTCTTTCTTTTTTAATTAATTGTTGAATTCTAAAGTAAATCAATTAAATTCAATAATCAATCCAAATTATTTTCCACAGTAAATGGGTGATAAACATTTATCTTGTTGGTGGAGACCAATTAAATTCCCCTTGGACTTTGGACTTAAAATCCCCCTGATTAAATGTTATTAATAATGCAAATCCAAGGAAAACATAAATAAGAGGTGGTCTGGTTGGAAACGTAATATGGGATATCAATAATGCGCGCGGGCTTATTTGGGCATGCTCATTAGTGTGGCATCGTTAGGGTCGGTGTGTGTATACCTCAGCCATTTTGGTCTTCGCGTACTCGATACGCATGGCCCCTCGGTCGGACGAGATGAGAAATGAGCCTTGCAGAGCCGCCATGGCCTGCGACGCGCACTTCAGGTCGCCGTACTCGACGAAGGCCACCGGCGATCCACCTTTGGCGTGCATCCGCAGGCGACTGAACCCAGGGAAGCTGCAAAAACGAAATTATTTTTAGTCCCGAAAGTCTGAGGAAAAGTGTCCGGTGCAGAGAAAATTGGTCACTGAGATTTTCAACATTTAGAAGAATTTTTATTGGACTAGCGAAAAAAGTCTCATCAAAAAATTCCATCTTTTTAGGTTCAAAGTGAAGTCGGCAAAAAACCAGGCTGATTAGTTTTCAAGAAAAATAATATTTTAGCGAATCAATTAAGCTTGCTTAAAAATTTGTTATTGGCACTACTTTTTAAACAAGGCACTTTGATTGAATAATTAATTAAGTTACTAATGACTCTTTCTACATTTGCAAACAGTAAAAAAATTGAAAAAAAAATCTGCGAAAGTCGCAAATCGTGATGTCAATAGATTTAAAACAGTATTAAAAACTTTTTTTGCCTTAAATATATTCTTTGAATCACTTTGAATAAATCATTGATTCAGAATGACAAAATTTTCACAAAGATCCGTTATAAATATGAATTTTAGAGCAAATTAAAATAAAAAATTGACTTTTGTCGCCAGTCTCTGCATTATTATTTTTATCAATTAATCATTTGTGCATCAGGTAGACGGGTGTTCAAAATGCATCACGATTCCATTCAATTTTTTGATGAAAAATAATGAATCGGTCCACTTACACAATTATAAGAGGAGAGTGAGTGCCTCTCTCATCATAAATTAATATCATTATGTTGAAAGTATTTTTTTTTTCATTGTAAAAATGTATGTACAGAAAGAGAAATAATGATTTGCGCTGGTGCAAGGGTTGGTTCACAGCATCACGAGAGAGGGGGGTTCAAAGAGAGAGAGAGAGAGAGAGAGAAAGAGATAGGACACAGACAGAGGGGATAATTAATGCTGTGCTTTGTTTTTCCAACAACTTTTGGATGAGATAACTTTGCAGCAGGCTCGGGGGTGGAAAAAAGAGGATGGCTAATTAGTCGGTCGGTGTTATTATTATTATTTCATTTTTGCAATGGATTCAAGCATTTCCTCGGGGGAATGCGATCGGAAAAATTATTTATATAGATTCTGTGAATTAAGCGAGCGGTCGGCGTCAAGGGAGGAAGAAATAAACAAGTCAGGAAATTGCACTGGTTTTTTTTTACTCCTTTCTTCTTCGTGGAAATTTATATTTATTCGGTCATGAAATTTCCGCGTAAAGAGGCAAAGAGAATTTCTAATCGAGTGCATACGCCGGCCGACGAGGCACGGGCACGAACCGCCAGCCAGTTTTATTATTTACTGGAAAAGTTGCTTGCCTGCTTGGGCAATGTATGCAACACGCAAAACGCCGCCGACAAGCGGGTAGTTGCACGGGAGAGAGTTGAAAATCGATCGCGCGTCAAAAAGTCTGCATTATAAAATAAAAATGCTCTGATGGTGTCGAGACAAAAGTTTTTGTGGGGTGATTTCAAAATCTGCTCAAACTTTATCGTTCCAAGAAGAGAATAAGATTAGAATCTAAATTTCATTATTATATTAATTTATTGCTCCAAACCAGATAGAAAGGAATTTGATAAAGACGCTTCTAACTTTGAATGTATCTCACCATACAGATTCTTATCATTTTAAGCATCTATTTTTGGATAGAATTGACAATTTTATTAATTCATATTGCTTATACTTATCGGCAAAATCAAAAGATTTCCCATTCGGATATGACTTTCTTTTGTGCAACTTTGAAAGAAAATTTTGAACAAAAAAATTTTTTTTAAGAAAACTTAAAAATCTTACAAAAATATCAACCAGGATATATTAGTCAATTTATTATTAAGGTTTCCATACACTTTAAGAAAGATTCTTTCAGCATAACGATGTTTTTAAAAATTTGGAATCATATTTTATCTATCCGCTCAAAATATTGTTATTAAATTCTCTCAAAGTTGCAGAACAACTTGTTTTTATTGATTTTTGTTTTGCCTAAAATAAAGTTAGAAATAATTAAGTAGCAAAAACTAGGAAAATAAAAAGTGCAGGGTTGAAAATGCAATGTAATTTTCCCACGAGCACATATCAAGCGACCGTGGTATTTAGCGAACATCTCTGGCAGGTGTCGGTGGTTGGATTGAGGGGACGAAAAGGGTATTATGTATATAAAAAGTATGCCAAGGTGCACACTGACTAATCCATGTCAAAATGCAAATGCTCGAGTAATATTGGTGCACGTTTTGGTTTGAAGAGAAAGGGCGGCTCTTACTTACGGCGGGCATATTCTAGTAGCTTTGGTGGCGGACAGTCTGCAGAACATTTGCCCCTCTGCTGAATAATACACACATAGACACAATTATTCAGCAATCGTGACTCGATTGAGCAGCTTATATGTTAGTACACTCTATAGCTTTGTAATAAAATTTTTGTTTGAAGAGAGAGTGAGAGAGACAGACAGACTATAACAACTCTTTTATCAATCCCTTGCACCTGCTTCTACTTTAATCGTTCGCACGAGTGTTTTCTCTCGCGCGCACTTGACGCCAGTGGAAACAAGAAACTTTTCATCTTTTTTCTCTTTGCTAATAGTTTCTTCTTTTCATCGTTTGCCCCCAAAATCTGTTTCTTACCTTCCAAAGATTTCCTTGAGTTCGTGTTCAGAGACGAACTGGCCGAGGTTGGCGACAAAGAGGGTCGAGCAGGGTGCGTTGTTGCCTGTGTTGCATTGCGCCGGGCCGTTATTAGCACCCGGTTGGGAGCACGTGGAGCCCACGGGGGAGGCAAGAGCTGGCGAGGGCAGAAAATGGGGCAGGGAATTTGCGTGCATCGAACTCAGGGCTGCCGTTGGATGTGGAATCGAAAGCGGTTGCTGGAAAAAACAGCCATAAGTCAGCTGAGAAATTTCAGAAAATTAAAATCTGAAATTAAAAAAAGTAATGATTGATATGGAAAGGGTTGAGGAAAAGTTAAGTAGATTTCTTATAGGCTAAACTTTGAAGGGGAAATAAATGAAAAAGGAAAATGATTAAATTTGGTAGTTTTGAACTAGAAAAGGTTCAAACATTAGAAAGTTGTGTTTATTTAATTAATGAACTGGTTTCTCAATCTTGCTAAAGAAATTACATTTTTTATTTAGGTGACCTTAATAGCAAAAATTCACATTTCTTTGGCGATTCAGGATGATTTGAGTGAAAAATACTCGCCTGTTCTAATGTAGGATTAAACTAACTTGGGAAAAATTTGTAATTTAAAAATTTTAGCTACAAATATTTTCAATTTTTGACAGAAATTCTTTGAAATCAAGAATGAAGAAAATTATAGACCGTTTGGCAACCCGCTTCACAATTATGTAAAGCGGGGTGCATAACGGCCAATAACTTCTGGCTTTCTCCTCTTTTTAAATATGAATCTGCCCAAAATAATTAAATTGAGCCAAGATCTTTCCAACGGTGTTAGTTTAAGAATCATAAAAAAGTGCTTATTAAGCAAATTCGTCAATTATTCTTTATTTCTAATGAAAAAAATCCACACTACAAAGTCAATAATGAGGATGAAAAATTTGAAATAAAAATAATTAAAACACTTCATCTGGCCCCCTTCCTGAAACCGAGAGTCATACATGTATATACCACCTTAAAAAAATAAAATAATTAATTTAAATCAACTACGGAAACAATCAAAAAGTGAGCGAAACAAAACAAAAAGCTGTGAGGGGGGCAAGATGAGAGAACAAAAAGGGTGTTTGTTTTTGCAGTGTGTTTATGTGAAAAGGGTGAGGAATGAGGAGGGTTGAGTGTTGATGAATCAATCAAATGCGTGACTAACATTTACTGAGTCCCTGCTGGGGGTGGAAGGTGGCGCGGGGCCACCCCTGCCGCCGCCGCACGCTGGGGTTGGTCCCGTGGAGGTCACAGGTGCGCCCGCCGACTGAGCAGCGACAACGGAGGGCCCCGCAGCCGCCGGAACAGGTCATAGGTAAGAGCGCACTGACACCTGCGTCAAGGGCAACAACAACGACTCGCATCAGCCCTCAGTCAATCAGCAATCCAAGCCGTTAATTTACTTTACTTGTTAAAAAATACTTCTACTTTAACTTTTACTTGAGAGGAGAATAGCTACTGCTTTTTTAAGAAAAAAAAATTCGTGACTAGCAGCTTGTAATTGTATGCTAAATCAGTTACATTTAAAATTAACTTAAAGATTTTTGTTTGGTCTCGACTGATTTTCCCTGTTAGGCCACATTTGATTAAATCCCTTATGTATTATCCAAAGTTTTTTTTTTGTAAATTTTGTATTTTTTTTTTATGAGTATTATAATAGTATATATATACGAAGGCAAGATTTAGCATTTTCTTGGTATTAAAACTTCATCTTGGGCTTAAACTGATCACTGCTAAAATGAGGGATATGAAAAACGTGCTGCCGCCAAAAAAATAAAATAATTTTACTCAGCAAATGCAAGTTGGAAAGGAAATGCAAAAATTCAAATAGCCATGTCAGCAAGAACCAAATTCTATGTAGAAAAGGGTAAAAGCTATGAAACTTTTGAGGAAAAGCATTTCAATAATAGAAATTAAGGAGAACAATAGCAAAATTTCGCGAGCCAAAATTCGGATTAAAAGAATAAATAAGTGGCTGCGAATTTTTGCATTTTTTGACTAAATGGGGTCTAAGTCGGCAGGGGGTAGTACACTACCTGAGGGTGCAGTGCAGGGTGCACCAGGGTGGCTGCGTGTTGAAGTGCGGCCGCGCCTGGCAGCTCTGCGGCGGCTGCCGCTGCGGCCGCTGCCGAATACGCGAGAGGGTGCGGCCACAACTCGGGGCCCGCGGTGGTGAAGAAGGGGCCTCCTAGTGCTGCAAACAGAGTGGCCACTGTCAGTACTCCACGCTAGGTGCCAGAGAGACTGTGGATTTGGCGATAGAGAGGAAGGAGAGAAAGAGAGAAAGGGTTGAAATTTCACACTTTTTTTTTTTTAATTTCAACGATTTGATTTTTCAAAGAAGAATTTATTTTAAATTCAGAAAGGAAAGCATCAAGGAAGAGAGTGCTTGGGCCTCGTTTATCAATTAAAATTGAAAAGCAGAAAATTTAGTGCAAGAAAAGTTTCTGTTTTGATTGAGCAAATAAGCGCAGATAAAATCAAGTGCGTGAATGATATTCTAAATAATTTTTATGATACACAATTGTTCTCATTTATACAGTGATGTTTTTAAATCATTTCCACACATCTGTTCAAAATTCGGCTTTTTATTTCAGATAAGAGCCAAATGTTTCAAAAAATGTTATTAAATAGCACGTGAAAATGTGCAGTAATTTGAGTGACTTACATTTATGCATTGGTCGCCGAAAGAGTGGACCTCAAAAGTAAGTTCAAATCAATATTTTCAAAGCAATTCCAAACAAACAGACAGGTGAGGTTTTGCAACAAGCTTTTTTGTATAGGAATATAAATCGGTAGAGGGTAAAAATATTAATAAAAAAATTTCGTTTACTTTCAAAATACTCACGTCCAGGCAACATGAGGCTTTGGTGTGCCGAGGCGGCCGCAGCTGCGGCCGCCGCAGCCGCCGCTGAGTTGGCATTGTTGTTGCCTGGGCCGCCGAGACCTCCGGGGCCGGAGCCAACAGAGCCCGGCTGCTGCTTTGGTTTTGAGACTTTGGTGTTGCTCTTGGCGAATTCGAGTCGAATCGTCTGAGGCATGTCTGGGTCGAAACGTACCCCTTGCTGTTAAAAAGAAACAGAAAAGAGGCCAATTTTTTTAATCAGCAAGTAGATAAAAATATCGAAATTTAAATAATTTTGTTAAGTTTTCCCTTTTTCAACAATATATTAAACTAAGTAGTAGTTACATTATTTTCAATTTTACTGTGGAAACTCAAAATTGTCTTTGGGATTATAAATAATAAAAAATCTTTTAAAATTTCCGCAGTCATAAATTTTAGAACTTCAATCAATAATTCTTTATTTGAAATTACTTTCTAAAAGACTTGTTAGAATTTTGCACTACTTTTGCAACATTTATTTTAAACGTAAGACGCTTATTTTTTTTTTTAAGTCCATTTAAAACTGTTATAAAGAATGGTTTAAATAAATATGCATACAGCGATTATTTTTTGGAAAAATATTCCTTTTTAAAAAAATTGTAAAATTAATGAGTTTTCTTATTCTCGACTTTGTTATGTCTTTTTTGATGTCAGACCAAAAATTTATGCTTCTGTTGCTGTATGGGGAATATGGGGATTGGGTTTCTTTTTTGTAACTCGAGATCGCCTCATACAAGTATAATTTTTTTACTTTTTTCGTCAAAGGGGCCCCCAGCAAGGAAGAAGCTATAAAGAATTCTTTCCCCGGCCGTTCGGATTTAGTAGCGGACTTACCTGTAAATCTTGTTTCGCTGCCTCTGCCCCTGCCCTTGTGCTAAATGTTACAAAACCAACAGGCTGAAACAAACAAAGACTAATGTTATGGAATGACCAAGAGGATTAAAACGTGACGCATAAACTACACAAAATATTATGACAAGAGTTTTCATAGACCAGGTATGAACACTGATTGAAGTGTTTTATTTCAATTTGAAAAATAATCTTTTCACCGCTTATGCTTTATTTTGAAACAATTTAATAACATGAATAGCGCGAAACGGAAATATGCAAATCACCATTTTTTTTTTATTTGTGTGGAATTTTTATTTTTTTAAATATCTATTAAAATTATTAAATGTGGAAGCAAATTGAACTTGACAAAAATAAATTTCCAAAAAGAACTTTTTATTGATAAAATAAATTCATCAGAGTAGAAAATGTATAATTTAATTTAAATTTTATAAAAATAAGGTTCTTTCAAATTTCAATCATCAGTCATCTAGCAATTAAAAATCTTACAAACTGATTGATTGAAAAAAATTGTGTTCAATTTGATTAAGTTTTCCAGGGGGATAAACATTTTTGAATAACATACTCTGCAACAAGTAATAATTCAATCAATATTACAAATCTAAATCAAAGTTGTAAATATTTTTAATATTTCCACAGTCAGCAATTTTATTTCCACCTAGTCGACGATTTCATACTTTTTCGTCGTGCTTGTTTACTTAATTGATTGCAGAGCGGCTAATTATGCAAGCAGCGAGAAATGACTGGCGCATAATTATGTCTGCATAAATGCGGCGATTTCGCCACTGTGAAATAACAAATAACGACCCGCAATTGATTAAATTAAGCCGCACATTATTTTGTTTTGCCAGTGGCAGCAGCGGACGGGCGGTGTGTTTTGCAAAACTAATTATACTCCGCCCAGCGGGGCCCGTTCATTTGTCAGAGCGCGGAAATGTACGCGCCGATATCTCTCTCTGGCCCAACATTAAAGCGGCGAAAACAAAGCCGCCGCCGCGGTGGGCGCACAGATAAAAATTGAATAACAATTTACAGGCAAATAAATGCGTTGAATACTCACCGACGCTGTTTTCCCGTTTTTGCTTGTGACTTTGAGCAATGAACCCTCGTAACCCTGTAAAAAAAATACAAAACAATTATACAACAAAACATTAATTAATTTTTTTTAAACTATGATTTTAATAATAAATTATAATTCAATTATAAATTGTAAGTATTTATCACAATTATTTAAAATTTAATTTTTTTTAGTTAAAAGATTTATAATACAATAATCAGGATTAAATAAAATTCTTCTTTTGCAAGAAAAATATAATTATCATTTTATATCATGTATAAATAATTATTTCCAGGTTCCAAATCCTCCCTCAATCCTCAATTTACATGAATATAAATTATTTAATTCTCAATAATCACACCCCAAATACAAGTTTCTCAATTTATATCACAATACAATTTTATTATAAATGTTATAAAGCAAATATGTTAAACAAAATTTTTCAAATGAAACATTATTATCTCGTATTACATGAAACTTAATGATTAATCACTAAAATAATCTTAAAATTATTTATTTCAGAGATGCTTTAAAAAAAATACATTATATTATAATCTACTCATTAATTATAGTTAGAATATAAATTAAATTGAAAAAAATCAGGCATTTTTAACTAACATTAAATTCAACTATTGTATCTATTTTGGATTTTCCCTTTTTCTTTTGACTTAAAAAAGTAAAACTTGACTCACCTCATAGGCACGGAAAAGTAAGTACAACTCCCTGGGCTTGGCGTCCATTGGCAAGCCGCTGACGAACAAAGTTCGGACCTGAAACAAAAGCATAGGAATTAAACTCTTGAGTGCAATTAAAATCGAGACTCGTGTGTCGCCGGACTGAGCTGAATGCTAAAAAGGTTCCGTGTAAATGTTCTGCAATGCGACTCTTTCTCGTGTGTGTGTTTTTTTTACAGCGAGAGGAAAAAATACATAAAAAGGAAAAACGGCTCCTTGGGAGGTTTTTCCGTGCGCATTAATTATTTATAAGGAGGTGCGCTAGACATTTTTCCTCACAACCGTAGCAAAGCTAGGAGGGATTTGTATTCAAATTCCAAACATTTTTGCACCTTTTCCTTGCCGGAGTTTGCAATTTATTTGCCCAGAATAAGGAGAGGCGCTGGTGGCGCGCCGATAAATTTTTTATTCCCCCTGATAGGACGCGAAATAAAAAGGGCAGGTAATGGACGCGGGGAGATTGGATAAGTGTTTTTGCGAGTCGCGCGCGCCAGTCGCCAAATTGGGGCGATGCAGCCCGTAAATAATTTATTGAGGTCTAATTATTTCGACTGGCGGCGTGAACGAGAAGCTTTTTATTTCAACAGTCATTAGGATGCTAAAAAGCCAACTAATTTCAACTACAAGTAGAATGTTACTAATTTTCTTGTATCATGCTTTCTAATTAAATTTTACTTCTATTGTAAAAGACGAATTTAAAATATAAAATAATTGCCTTTATGTTTAGTTAATAGTATAATAAATTACAAATTTTAAAACTTTTATTTTAAATATCTTTTTTTTTCTAATAAATAAGTAATTGATGTTTTAACATTTAATAATTTTATAATATTTAAAAAATCAAAACGTACAGAAGTTAAATGTTGTTAACATATAAATATAAAAAGCTTGATAGAAAAGCTAAATTTATAAATCCTTAAATAATTAACAATGATGTTAGTCTTATCTTTTTTGTTACAACTAAAAATTTTTATTGAATAAAAAATTGTAAAATATGAATATGTAATACATAACACAAATTAATAAATTCTATTATTAAATTTATCAATTTCTATGTACCAATGGGCGGACCTGGTATTGCTCCTGTGTTAGAAATAAAAAGTAATAAGAATTTTGAAAATTATATTCTCCATCGAATCACCTTGGTTCTAGATTGAGCCCTTCTTATTATTTTATTTTATTTTTTTTTTATTCTTCGTTAATATTTATTTTGTTTTGAACATCTCCTATGGGTTGTGGACGAAAATTTTCCACTTCCAAGTCATAATTTATATCCTTTGGACCAAAACCTTCAAAGTGCGGCCAAAATGCTTTTTCGTCTGTGTCAATTACAAGTGTTCTCATAGTAGAGAGCGGAGGTGTTAGTTTTTTACTCTTTTTCGTATTTTGTTGCACGCGCGTTCCTGCGTGACGTCACCGCTCGGCACCACTTGAGAAACCTCTCTTCACCCCCTGCCCACCCCCGCTATTATTCTTGTCGGGAAAAAATGCTGCTGCTGGGGGTGTAATGACTGCTGTGAAAACAAGCTGAGTCCAATTAAAAGCGGGAGAAAAAAAGCGTAATTGGAGGGCTTGTGTGTACATATGTACGTCGATAAGTGCTGGGAAAAATCTGAGTAGCGAGAGAATTCGCGCCGCTTTAATTTTCAACCCTCTCTCGCGTCAATCGTGCATTTTGTCAGCCAATTATGGACGGATTAATCGATCGTTTAGCGTTTAAATAAAAGAGGAAAGAGAGGGTGAAGCGAGATTTTTATATTCAATGCATCTGCAGGATTTTCTGTTTTTCCTTTTGGGCTGAAAGATTGCCTTGTCAGAAAGTGTCAGTCTGAGCCTTCCATTACAATTTTCAGTTTTGTTTTACATCAAATTTTTTTGCGTCAATCGCCATCATTAATTTAAAAAAGTAATAGAACATTTTATGAATTAAATTTTTTTATAATTTATTATTGTTCAAAAGTGTTCTTCTGCATGAATGTAAAAAATATATCTGAAAATGTGGGAAAAAAATTAATTTTTTAAACTAGATTCTAAAAAATAGTGAGAATAATTTAATTTAAATGGGGGAAGAAAACGATCAAAATTAATGTTGTATGGAAGATTCTCGTTGAATATCCATTTTTCTTTTAATATAAATTAAACAAATAACAATATTAACAAATTTAAATAACTACAAAAATATAAATTTATTACGAGATTTTTTAGTCATCCTTCCATACCACTGTTGCAATTTTAAATGTTTATCTGGAGAGCAGATGAAAGTTAACTTTTATTCCACGTAATTTTTAAACTTGCCTTCAAAACTAAACTATTTTAGTTCTCTTTTCTGTTTTATTTTTTTACGAGTCCTTTTCTTTTAATGTCACATTCTTATTTATTATACTTATTATGAGCAGTTTTCTGTGAAATAATGAAGTAATAAAAACAACTACTCCTTAAAATAATCACACGAAAAAAAGTGAGTCTGAAAAACACTTTTTTCGTTGAGCAATTTTGGTCGACTCTCGCGTTGTTCTCCGGCTCGATTACATCTTTTTTTATTATTTTATTTCTGCCAGTACCGGAGAGTGTGTGTGTGTGTTTGTGCTACACAAAAATCTGATTTTCCAAGAGTGACGTGCGGGGCGATTAAACGTGCATTATTGCGCGTGTTTATTACAGCGAAGGCAACAAAAGTAAGTGGTTTCGGCGCCGCGCGCTGTTAAAATTTTATCCGCAAGTCCATTTCTGTCCGTTCCAATCAGATCGCGTCACGCCAACCCCGTTCTTTACTTTTCCCGTCCGACCGACTGCCATGTCCCGATGGATTTGCCGCGCAAAAGGAGAAGAAGGAAAGTACGAACTACTTCTCGTTTCATAATTCACACGCCCGACCGACCCTCGGGAGGGACGGACCGCGGAAAATGGGAATTTCTCTCCGAATTTATTCCATCTCAGTTTTCTTCCGATATAACTTACAGGAGAGAGAGAACGTTTCTCCCCTTCTGGAATATTTTGATCAAGAAATAAGCTTTTGAAGTTATTATGCGGAGGCTTTACAAAGACACAAAGTTGAGTAAAAAATGAAGACAAATTATCTTTTTGGTTATAGATATCTGTCAAAATTTCAATTATCTTGATCCGCTGCAACAAATTCTATAACAAATCTCAGGACCACTTTTAAAATGCAAATTTTCTCACCAGTTCTAACATAATTAATCGAAAAATGACTCAATTTTTTTTTTAAATCACACACATTTTTTATCTATACCAAAAGTCTATCTTATATTGAAAATAATTTTTGGGGATATAACATTCAATTTCAGTTCCACCAAGGATAGAATTGTTTTCAACATAGCTATCCTGGGAAGAAATATAAATTTATTATCCCCATTAGAACAACACAAGAATGGCAATAATGAGAAACGCCTTTAACGGAGAAAAAATTAATTGTGAACTGTAATCTACCTACTAAAAATTTTTGAAAATTATTTTAGATTAAATTTTTCAATAGGCTTAATAATATATTTGTTTTTTAGTTTTGCTTCTTTCAAATATCTGGTTGCCTATCAACATAAGCAAAAAAAAGTATAATTTTTTTTTTTTGGTACTTTAAGTTAACTTTTTATTTATTCTTTTCAATATTAAAAACAAATAGTTGTGTTTTAATGATGAAAATTATAAGTTATTTATTTTTTACTGTTTTTTAATAATATTTTTGAATATATTATTACAGTTGTTAGCTCATTTGCCCTTGAAATGTTTTTGATAATTTTTGATAATACTGTAAAATAAAATTTTTTAAATGGAACAAGTTTTTATAATGTGCCATTATGTATTTATTTAAAACAAAAATTTTAATATTTCTCAGTACTGACGTAGCTTAAAGTAATTATTCGCGCATATAAAGATTCAATTAATAAATTTAGTTTTTTTGGATGCAAAAATCGCAGCACCGTCAATTGATGAAGTGGAGCGCTTTTCCACCTGAGCTGATCTGCGTCTGATTAATTAATTCGTCGCGTGGACGTTTGCGTCGGTGCGGCCACGAATTTGCATTTTACAGCATCGGCATTGAGTGCGGCGTGTATTGACTATTCATGAAACACATCACGGCGGCTGCTGGGCGAACACACACGTAAACAAATTCAATAACTTTGCGACGATAGTCAGACGGGGGCTGTTTCGCAGCGCAATAAATCTAATCGTAAAATAATAAAACCCTTTATGTGTGCGGAATGCAGCCCTATTGTGTTATTGATAGCCGCCGGTTTACGGTCTTATTTTTATTTTCTTTCTTCTCTCTTTCTTGCTGTTTTTGCCCGGCACCGTTTGCGACTGGCACGATTGTTACGCCATCGTCGGTTAGTCTGCGGCCGCCGATCGATCAACTCTTTCTAGCCATGGCAACCCATTTGTTGTGGCAACCTATGACGACTTTGTATGCATAAAATAAAAATTGTGAACGTACCCTTGTGACAAAACACGCGTGCCGGCGTGTTTCAGTCGGCGGCTAAACGCTCGGACCAATTACGCGGCGGCCCGCATTTTAATCAACCCCTTCAGCCGCAATTGCACCCTTTTTAATTCGCACGTTTGCCACCGGTTACAAGCGTGGAAGGAAAAGAGCGAATTAATTTAAAATTTCGTTGTACGGCTGACAAGCTATTTATACTAAAATCTCTTGAAAAATTTGAAATTAATTATAGTTTTAAAATTAAGCTTTTTGGGATCAAATTTTAATTGAGAAGGTTCCCGGAAAAGTCGTAAATTGAGCAAGAAGAAAATTTATTTAACTATTTTTTTCAATTGCATGGGATATAAAATAGAATTAAGGATATTTACATGATGTTTTATCCAAGCCTAAGCATTATTATTTGTTATTTTTTAAAGGACAAGGCAATTCGATCAATTAAAAAAGATAACCATTTTTTTGTATAAGAATTCATTTTTTTTATGATCGCAAGGATTAAATCAAATGAATAAAGCACATTCAATATAATTCCACTATCAGAGAACAGTCGTCGTAAACACACGAGATGAAGAATTTGTCTTTT